AAAACAAAATATAAATAAATAAAAAGTAATAAAACCAAAATTAAAGGGATTTGTAGCTCCGTTAGAATAGCATTTCGTGTAACAGAAACACAATCCCAAACTATGGTTGTCATGTGGTGTATAAGAAGATAATACTCGTATACTATTTGAATTTGAAAATAATTTTGTTTATAATGTGAACTTGTCTGCGCGACAGAATTCCAAGATATCTTCTCAAATTATAGCGAAAATGTTGGCTCCGCCCGAGATAGGTATAGGGAGGTGTTATGCCAAAATAACCAGAAATTTATGGCCGAACGGAAAATACAATTCAGCTGATAACTGTTTTCAGCTCAATTTTTGCACTTTAAGTGTAGTTAAGTGCAAAAAAGAACTAACCAAAACATGCATTTTTTCCGATAGTAGAGAATTTAGTGCATCTTATTGTGATTTACTGCTTCCTTATAAACGAATAGAGTCATAGAATTAAAAGAGATAATGGTTCAAAGGGGCGGTAATTTTTAGTATCTTTGATATTGTGTGAATTGTGTTTCTCTCTGTCCAGTGTGTCTGACGGTCATGTAGGTGCACCTTGAAACACACTCACCTGCACAAAAACCAACCGCTGAAAGCTGGTATTAATTTTAAAGTTATGGGTTTCCTGCGAATCGCTCATTATTAAGCTACGAAAGCTACTTGTGAGCTGCCGTTTCTACTCTATAGACGATCTGTTTTGTAACAGAAAATTAAAAAATTAGAGCCATATTTCTTCTGTTCTCTATGGTCAATCTAACTTCAGCTACTGAAACGTTCTTAACATTTCAGGAACAATTTGACACAGTTATTTAAAATTTTAATAAATTATTTTTCCACTCCTTTCTGTAAAATACATAATTATACACCGATCTAGCGTGCGGAAAATGCCAGTTTACCACGTGAGTTTCTTGTCCCACGGATCCGAACCACTTCGGACATTTCCAAAAACTATGGTAAAAAGACAAAGATATATAATAGGAAATTTCGGCTTCTATAAATTACGTATTCAAGGAAATTATTGATAGCTAATGTCAACAATTGTAATGTAGATTTAAAGCCTGTAAACAAAAATTAATTATTGCTTTTGCGGATTGTATTCATTCATTCATTCATTGAAACCAATATACCACTTAAAAAATGAGGCGACCGCCATTTTTGATAAAATTTTGTAAATTTAACATACCGTACGAGTCAACTGTACGTAAAGGTAGTGTTGTAGTCATTTACAAGCAAACCGTAAATGATATTTATTTATTTATAAACAAGTCTTTTTTACAGAGAGACGCAGCTGCCCAATAAAAGAAAACCACAAAAGGTCACAAAAAGAGACACTTTGTCAGTGAATTAGTTTAAGTTATTTTTTACAAGCTAAATCTAATTATGAACTAATTACAGTTTTTTTTTACAGTATGTTAATTGGTGTACCGTCTTAAGTGTCGTTTAAAAGCTTCAAAGGTCAGAGCAAATAGGTCAAGATCCGGAAACGCGTTCTCTACCCTGCTATAAGTACGGGTACATCTGATAATTGGAGAGTTAGAAGTATGTTTTTTCAAAAACAAAAGGAGATTCAATCAAAATGTGACCAACTTTATAAAGAAATAGCAAATCAAAATTTGTTCTACGATTTTCCAAATACTGCATACAATAGAAATGAAGGTTTTCAGTATGACTAAAAAAAATGTCACTGTCTATTAAATATATAATTTATAGCATTTACAAATTTTCGTTGTACACTCTCCAACCATTTCAGACTGATGTAGCATATTCCAACAAGACTGTGAAAAAGTATTATTAAAGATTTTTTATTATTAAACCACTTCGTCACCCGTAGAATAAATCCAAGGCTCTTAAGAGCCTTTTGACCAATGTTTTCTGGGTGCATCTCAAAAAGAAGACCCGAATTCAATGGAATATCCTTTACAGAGTCCGAGAAGTTCAGTTTGTAGTTACCTCGGTAATTTGCAAATGTGGTAATTTTTTTGAAAACAATATTCTTCAACATTTGATAAATCTCTCTTCAACAATGCATGGTCTGCCGCCGAGTGAACCGATTTTGAAATTTTTAGATCATCTGCGTACAAGGAGTAAGTACTATATAAAAAGCACTGGCCAACATCATACAGGAAAATGGAAAACAATAAGGGACCCAAATGCGACCCCTCAGGTACCCCGGAAGTTATATTTGTTCTCTTTAATTTTATCCCATTTACAACAACATACTGAGATCGCTCGCACAACTCTTAAGGAGGGCGAGTAAAACACCGTGCACACCGAAATTCTTCAGTTTCAGGGCAAGAGTTGGGTGGTGTATTTTATCAAAAACTTTGGAGAAGTCGGTGTAAACGGCACAAGTCTCGAGCCCCTGCTCCATATTGTCACTCACTTGCTCAACAACCGGTACCAAATTAGTTAAGATTGATCTTTTACGAAAAAATTCGTGCCGATTCGGGTCAATACGCCCCTTAACAATAAAGAATAATTGCTCCAAAACAAGTGACTCAAACAATTTTCCGAAGTGGATTTCAAAATGGGCAATTTTCCAGTACCAGTTAAGGTGGATTGTTTTATAGCAAAAAGGGTGGCTTACAAAGATCGGGGCATGATTTTAAAAATATCAAAGGAAAACATAAACATAAACAACGCCGTGTCGAGTGTGCGCGGTCTTTTTTGGAACTCTGTGGGTCGGAACCGAAGCCAGTGATAGAAAGAAACTATTGTGACGGGAGATGAAACTATGGTTGTGTATTATGACCCTCTATCGAAAAAAGAATCAATGGAGTGGCGTCGTAAGGATGAAGCACCTCCAAGAAAATTCAGAGTCTGCCAGTCAACAAAAAAGGTGATGGCCACGATCTTTTGGGATTGTGAAGGAATTCTTTTGACAGATTTTAAAGAAACTAATTACATAAATTGCGAGACTGCATACGTATAAAACGTCGAGGAAAACTGACCAGAAGCGTGCGTCTTTTGCACGATAATGCACCTGTCGATACTGCTGGTATTGTACAAGCTGCCATTTTAGAGTGTGGGTTCCAACAGATAGATCATCCTCCCTATAGTCCAAATATGACCCCGAGCGACTATTATTTGTTTGAATATTTGAAAAAGGACTTACGTGGACGGCGGTTTAAAGACGCAGTTGAGTTAAAAGAGGCTGTTTTAGCTCATTTTGTAGACAAACCAAAATAATTTTTTTACAGGGATTGAGTTGTTAATAAATAGATGTAATAAGTGTATTGAAGTTAAGGGGGATTTTAGTGAAAAATAATAAAAAATTGTGACTCTATTTTGTTTCTTTCATATTCAGGCCGGGAAATTTTGGCGCTGCTCTCATATGTAACACGTTAGGTAAACTTTTTAAGTCACTCATTTATTAAACACTCGCCCCGCTCGTGTCAAATAAATTCGCGAGTCAGTCAGTCACTTGTTGCATAATATACTATTATATATTATTTAAGAACAGAATAAGACTACTAGACTAGTTTAGATAGTGACTAGTTTATTAAACACTCGCTCCGCTCGTGCCAAATAAACTCTTATCTCAAATGCTGTTTACCGCACTTGTCCCATAATATACTATTGTGGTTGATGAAACAACTGGGAGATATATTGCACACACAATAATAGGAGTCTTAGGGGAAACCAATTATTTCCACCAGTTATGGTAGATCCTATTTAATTGCATTCAAACAATTGGAAAAACCCAACAATTTAAGCGTAACCAGATTTGTTCAAGAAATATTAACCAACTTTCTTTGATCAACAGTGTTCCCACAGAAAAATTCACACTCCTTTTACCGGATGCTGCAACATATATGGTTAAGGCAGCACAAAATTTAAAAAACATTTTATTCTAACTTATTTCGTGCTACTTGTTTGACTCATGGTATCAATAGGGTGGCAGAAAAAAATATTTCCAAAAACACTTTTACGTGTTCAATTTTATAAAGAACACACTACACCCAACCGCTGCTACATTTCATGCTGAAAACTTAGAATTACATGTTTCAACGATTAAATTATTTTACAAATTTACCTTAAATATTAATATATATATATATATATATATATATATATATATATATATATATATATATATATATATATATATATATATATATATATATATATATATATATATATATAAATTTATGGAAACTTCGACTAGGATATAATGACAAATGATGGACAGAATAAAAACTGAATGGTACAAAATTAATTAACATTAAAAAGTTAAAAGAGAGAAAATTTACTAATTCTCTAAACAAATTATTTTTTGTGCAAATTGGAGGCTGCCTCTGTTTCTTTTAAAAATTCAGTGGCTTTAAAAAGTTAGTAAAAAAGTTTCAGGCGCTGTTGGGGCTGCGGCCATAAAAAAAATTGAGAGTATTTGAAATCAAAGTCCTAAAATATATTTTAGAAGTTTTTATGGGCAATTTCACTAATTTCGCATTTGTATACATTGGAAACACATTTCGAAATTCGGATGTTGAGCAAAGTTTTTTTTTTTATTTTTGAAGCTACGTTTACAGATAAAATATATAATCTTTTTTTGGGAAAGTTTGAGAAATATTTAGCCATCAACTGTTCTTATAATTGCAAAGAATGGCTTGTTAATTTACGAATTATTTACGAATATTTAATTATTAATTGTATTTTACATTTTTTTTTAATCGCAAATAATATTTTTATATTTTGCAATTTGCTGTCTAAGTATGAAGTGTAACTATGAACAAAAAAAATTATTATTATTTTTTTTTGTTTCATAGATATCTATTAAAATAGGTTTGTGATAAAAAATTATAGGATTCCTGAAGAACTGGTTTAATTAAAAGAAAATAGTTCTGGCCTCATTTAAAATAACATTAACGTTCAAAATTGCATAATTGTATTTTGGCTTGCATCTTTCCGCCAGTGATCACCAAGCGAATCGCATATGAAAAAAATTGAAAAAATTTAAATGTTCCATTACACACTCCACTCACCTTTTTCGGACGTTTTGTACAGACTGTTTTCACATATCGAATTTTCCACCGTATCGACAATCTCCCTTAACGGATAAAAAAAAAATCGAAAAAATAATTACATTTTCGAAAAAAAAAAGTGGTCTATCGATCGCAATAATAATGATCCGTACGGGAAAAAAATGCAACCGACTCGATGGACTATCGGTCGCGGACTGTAATAAAATTGTAGTGCGCGACATTCCGTTCGCAACAACAAAGTTTCCTTGAAAATTAAACTGATCGAAACGGAATGAAAAAGTGATTTTTCGATGCGGGATTTTCACGGACTGACGGTCGCGCGATCAATTATCAACATCAACCGAAATTAGTACAAAGCGAAATTGAAGGAACTGCTTCTTATATGTTATATGCACTTGAAAAATTAACAATACGCATATGTGTTCTGTAATATTTAATTATTTTTTATACATATTTTAACATCTACTTAGGAACATTTTATATAAGTAATTAAGAACTACATTTAATGTTTCAAATAATCCATCTTTTTCTTTTGAATTTTTAGTATGCCAATGCGGATCTCGTACTAGCAGGTTAACTGAATATAGGGCTTGTTGAATGGTTGGTGGTGGTCCCAGATCAACTTGTTCATCTTCTTCTTCCTCTTGGTGCTCTTCCTCACCCTTTCTTGCTTGTTGTAATATGGCTTAATCTGTCAAGTCTGCTGTTGTAGGCAAATCTTGATCTATCATCATAAAATCTTGCAACTCCCCATTTGTAAACCTAATTGTTGTTTGAAACTGCTTTATCAACTGGCTTAGTGACTGGTCATCTTCCAAGTCCTGTTCGCATTCTGTCTCAGTAATAAGTCCTGCATGACGATAAGAGTGTTGAATTGTTTCTGCTGTCACCTCTTTTCAAGCTTATCTAATAAAGTTGACTGCATCTAGCATATTAATGGAACATTTTTCTAAGGACTCGGTCGTTTCCAATTAAATGTTTTTCCAATATCGACTCTGAAGACTTTTTTATTACGCTCTGGTCCATCGGCTGTAATACAGTTGGAAGAAATGCCAATTTAATATTTCGTACATTTGGAATATGGGGATGTGCAGGACAGTTATCTAAGAGATGTAATATTTTCCTCCCCTTTAATTCTGCATCCCATTTCCGTATCTCCTCCTCAAAAATTTGCGATGTCATTCATGCCTTGTTTGCCTTGTAAGTGACCGACAAATGCTTGATGTTCTTAAAATATCGTTAGTTGATTTTCCAATCACGACTAGCTTTCTTTTTTCTCTCCCACTCATATTGGCAGCTAGTGACACTGTTATAAGTTCTTTAGAACGTTTTCCAACCACACACTATTCGAAATTGAAGAGTTTTATCTGGCGCCATTTTGTAAAAAATACCAGTTTCGTTAGCATTAAAAATGTCGTTAGCAGGGTACTTTTCTGCTAGTTTTGGCCACGTCTTCTCCAGTCAATCGTTAGTCACGTTTCTGTCGACATTACGGGCTTTGCCACTTATCTGTCCATAATTTATACCATGTCTTCCCCAGTCATCCTTCCGAAGCCTTGAAATCGATAATGCTAAGCTGTTCAGAGAGTGGTACATTTTTAAGACGTTGCTGTTGGAGCCACTGCAATATTGCCCGATCCAAATCTTCAAATTTTGGCTTTCTTAGTTTTTTACTAGAACTGTCTGCCGCTTCAACCTGAATGATTTTTTATTTGCACTTCCAAATCGTGGATACAGTCGACGGTGTAAGTCCGTATCGAAGTCCCATATCACTTTTCTTTTCTCCCCGTTCTATCTCCTAAAGTAAAGCAACTTTATTAGAGATTTTAAGTATATTCTGGGGATAAAATTTTTTAGCTTACTCGCCATGCTGGCCGTATTCACCAAGTCAAATTAGAACTGATTGAAACAATGGTGTGCTTTTATAGATACCGATAAAGGCATTAACATAATTGCTTATTACGAGAAAAAACACTTAGGACGACGAGGTTCTCGGTAATTAAATTATTAGGGTAAGGACTTCTGAGAACGTAGGAGACTTACTTACTTACTTAGTTACAAGTAGGCCTACATTCCTTACTTTGTTAAAGTCTGTTCATAGATATAAGAAAGTGACTAACTGATACGAATTAGGGAAAGACCCGGGCAAGCTGTAAGAATGAAATATGGCCGAACAGGTCCGTACTTTGCTTAAAATTTAATTATTTGGGGTTTTGTTAGGAAAGATACTAAACAATATTTATTTATTTATGTATGTATTTATGTTTAAATTTAAAATAAAACCACAAATTATTTTTACTATCTACTTAAATTACTTAAAATTATTCACATAATGTATCAGTATCACTATCGCTATCATCTCCTGTTCTAATTATTATTTGTTCTATATTATTTGCAATATGGATATACGATTGTTCTGCTTTTTCTATATGTTTAACAGAATTTGCCCAATTTTGTGGTTTCTTAAGTTTGAGGACGTTGGAGTTAACACGGGGAAAAACATTGTTACGACGAACGACAGACTTCAGTTGGTGCCAAACGTGTTGAATGGGATTAAATATACAGTGGTAAGGTGGAAGCCTTACCTAGCCCTAGATTTTTTGCATAATTATCACACACGTATTCCTTCTGTAGGTTCAAGCTTTGTAGAACCTCAATTATTTGCTTTTTGGTATAATCTTCGTGAAAATAAATGTCGTTATTATACATGTAGTTTTGGATTGTTGCTTTTGTGTCACATGAGGAAGGGGTTTTAGTCAACTGTCTACTGTGATAACTTGCATTGTCTATTACAATGACGCTATTAGGAGGAATGTTTGGAACTAGTTTGTTTTTAAACCAACTTTCAAATAATCAGCGGTGGTGTCTCCATGGTAATCCAGAGAAGAATCTTTAATATTTTTCGCAGACAGAGAAAGTCCATATGGAATCCAACCATCTTTAGAGCCAGCATGCAAAATAGTTATTCTTTTACCTCTTTTTGATGGCGCGTTTGTTTTAAACTTATCAGTTGAGTCATCCCAACCCTTTTCCGGGGTATCATAAGTGTCGAACCAGGTTTCATCCAAGTAAATAATTGGCCCTTGTTGTTCTCTGTAAATCCTAAATTTTTCTAGATATTCCAGTCGCCATTTCCAAATTCTAAAAGATTCCATTAAAACTTGACTTTTGTAATTTTTTTAAAATCTAAAACCCATGTGTTGAATACACTTCCATAAGGTAGTTCTGCCACATTTAACACCGGTTTCATCTTTTTCAAGCCTCCTAATTAAGATATCTAATGTAGGCACGCTTTGTTCTTCGTATAACTGGTAGATTTTACGCCGTATTATATCTTGATCACTTTCATCTACCCTCGAGAAAATGTCAGCATCGTTTCTTTTTTCCTTCCTACAATTTAAATTAAATTCTTAAGAACGATACATATCATCTGATGTTAAAATAAACGCTTCTACTTATTCGAAAATACCCCGCAGCATCAAATTTAAAACGGCCCTCACTCACGTTTCAAATAAAAATTTCAATTTTCTACAAATATTCAAGAAATACTTAACGTAGAATAAATATCTGTTGGATGGGTTTTTAGCACGGTCCTGCGAAGGTCTGCGTGAAGGTAATGTAAAATACTTAAATGCTCTATATTTTTGGTCGCATTACACTCGTTCGTGATATACTTTTCTTCCAAAAAAATTGTAATTTCTTAAATGACCTAAATTCTTTGCCCCTAATGTCTATATTTTAAAAGTTACACTTTGTTTTATTTCATTACATCCGCCAATAACTAATAAATTTATTCAGCGTTGAGAAAGCGGGGTAATTTTGTGCCTTTCGAAGCTATCGTAAAAAAGTAATAAACATAAATAACGATATTTTATTTCAATTTTAAATATCGTTTGACATTCTAAATAATAAACAAGCATTTTATTTGGTAATTTAAGGTCAAGTAGACATTAACAACAACCGGTAAAATGGAAATGCTTTCCAAAATTCACCTTTTTTTGAGTTTTATTTTTTTTATTCATATTTTAGGTTAGGATAGAAATATTGAGGCGCGGTTTTACCGAATTGATAGGCTCGCGTTTGACTATCCAAAGACGTAAAAAGTCCTATCGTTTAATTGTTTTTTTTTTAAATAAAATTATCATTTTCGGCTAGCTTTTCAAGTCTTTTTTAGGGAAGTTTATTAAAATAATTAAAATATTGCCCCACTACATTCCTTGTAGGGACAGAGCAATAAGGGTTTTAAAAATCAAGATGGCAATTCCTTTCCTTCGCGGCCATTTTAGAAACTCGAAAAGTTTTGGTTAGTTTTTCATTTTATACATTTTGTCAGTGTGCGGTGCCTCAAAAAATACATCGATAGTATATTATGCAACAAGTGCGGTAAACGGCATTTGACTCACGAGTTTTTAATAAATGAGTGACTTAAAAAGTTTACCGAACGTGTTGCATACTATACTTTTTCCAGGACCATTAGTTTTTGTGTACATTTTCGCAAAACCACAAGAATAAGTTTACTGAAATGACCGTCAGAATTGATAAACGTCAAAATTCAAAGCGTGGGAAATATCTCCGAAAACATCCGATTGCTGTCAAACCAGTGCGGTAAAATCCCGGAAATGTCCGAAGTGGCTCAAAACCGCGGGACAAGAAACCCACGTGGTAAAATGAAACTTTTCGCATGTTATTGGGTTGTTCGGAAAGTCATTTCGTTTTTTTTGGGGAACATGAAAGACAGTTTTCGTATAATGAATAAATATTTTATTAAATTATATATTGGCCATTCTGGTCCAACACCTTTTGCATCTTTCTGGCAGTAACATAATTCCCCTCTCATAAAAGTTTTGGTCCTTGCTGGCCAAAAACTGTTTCAAGTGGTTTTTGACATCTTCATTTGAGGTAAAGGTTTTGCCATCCAAAAAATTTTGCAGGGACCGGAACAAATAGTAGTCGGAAGGCGCCAGATCTGGAGAATATGGTTTGTCAATTCTGACGGGCATGTATCTGTGTTACTTTTTCAGAAATGTACTCAAAAACTAACGACCGTAGAAAAAGTATAATATGCAACACGTTTGCAAAACTTTGTTGTTAATGCCGTTCACCGCGCTTGTTGCATAATATACTATTGTAAATAAACAAAACTGTTTTCAATAATCTATTTATTTTTCAATGAGTAAACAACATTCTCTTGGAGAATTATAACTAACTAACGTTAGCGCTTCACAAACACATGAAATTTAATTGCGGTTTTTTGCTTATAAATCAACTGCGAAGAGTCTAAACGACTCGAAGATGACAATCTGCCTGGAAATTAGTCTAACGATCGGATACGAACAAGTAATTAAGTGTATACTTATTATTGCAGTTTTTGTATTTTGAACTTGAGCGTGTCATCATCTTCCGATCAACCCGCCATCTTTCCGATAAAGTTCGTTTAATAGAACAATAATTTCCGTAGTTTCTTAAAATTAAACGACATACAAACCAAGCGTGATAGAGGAAAACATTTTCATTTCGATTTAAAAAGTTCGCTAAAAGTTTGAGCTTGATTTTTTTTAAATTTTCGTATATTTTTTTTACCTCATAGGACACGTAATAAAAAAGCGAATCTCAAATGACAAAACAATAGGTGCGGATACTCTTGGTATAAACGCCCATAATGCAATACCGTATAAATAAAAAAATAAGTTCTGTTTATTTGCGTGTAGTCGTTTAAATTCATCAAATAATACGCATAGTCGTTAAAACATCTTATTGTCAATGTTTTTAAACTATATGTAACGGTTTTCTAGGAAAACATCAACGAAACTATGATGTTAACTGTGCTACAGACGCTGGTCACTTTTAAGAACCTAAAAATAGCCGTAACAGAATTTTTAAATGCCTCTTCTTTTTCTATTCTCCACATACCCCGTATATGCACGGTTAGTAAAGAGTACTAGAACGCTTAAACATCTTCAAAATGCTAAAGATGCAATTATAAAGTTCGTGATTCGAAGGTTTGGAGCCAATCTGAATTGAACATTTCAGCACTGTTGCCAAATGTCTCGCGCCACAAGCAGTTGCCTTACTTTCTTAAGTGGAATATCCCATTTATTGAGATGATAAAACAGTATTAAATTTTGTATAATCACAAATATGTTAAATTTGAGATAGGAAGCGGTTAGCTGCAGCGACAAAAGAAATTTGGCAACAACGGCGATAACGATTTTCATCAATAGGGAATTTGAAGAAAATTTTAATTTCAATTGAAAAAATTTCGTAGTTCTATGCTATGCTATGCTTAAAAATTGTATAATTTAAATCCTCTTTGAAATGCGCAGTCATTGACTGTGACCGGTTATGACGTCAATCCGCTCGTTAGACTACGTGCTAGCCGGGGTGTAGTGTAGAGAAGTTGTTATAGAACGACAATGCGTTCATCTTGGTGATTTAAATTTTAATTCTAGTCTGATCCTGTCGCTTGCTTTTATCTTGTGTTTAGTATCAAAAAGAAAGTTTTGAAAATGAGCGAAGCAGATTTTTAAAAGGTCAATCTGATAATTTACCTTCAGTGGATATGTTTATGGTGACATCTTACATACAAACAACCGAAAGTTTTTCTTTTGTTGAGGTTCGGGGTGTTAAAGCTAAAAGGTATGTTCATACCAAATTTAGCCAGAAGTTTTAAACCAATATAATAGTGTAATCAGCTTAAAGTTTTTAATATTCAAATGGTATATCAAATAAAATGTAGATAATTCAACAACAAAAAATACAAAAAGGATTTTTTTTTAAACTAGTGGAAACCTAAATACTGATTTTAAAGTATACCGGCATTGATAACTTAAAGTGTTCTTTATTTTACATTTGTGATATTGTTTTTGTGTTGCTTCCATTATTATCACACAAGTACAAACACACCTTTACACGAGCCAAAAATAAACATAAATAATACAATTTTCGGCCTATAATCTCATAAGACTATACATGTCGTCGTATCGATCAAAAAGCAGCGGTATGACGTCAGGATCATTCCCGTGCGTTTAGTGTCGTGTAAAAGGAATATACATAAACAAACGTATTAAAGAAATAAAAAAAATGTTCAAGTTGCCCATTCCGAATACCCAGAAACCCCGAATGCCATAAGTGTGTCCTTAGCGGTTTTGAAGATATTTGAACGTTCTGGTATTTTACTAACCCTGTATACTGAATGACAACGAACCTTCTGTCCACAGCGGTATTTCAGAAAAAAATACGCAATTTGTTGTGGTGACCGCGTTAAATATTGCCGAACATTGTAAATAATTATCTTTAACTTTGGTATTTTAAATGGAGCACTCCGTATATTTTTAAATTTTTGGACTGGCTAAACAATCCTAAACAACTTTTGCCTAATATACTTTATGTCGAAGATCAATCGTTTTTTATTGACTTTTTACTTTTATGCTCAGGTACTGGCATAGGGCACAAAAATTAATTAATAAAGATTTAAAAGAACCTATTGAATTGATAATTATTGCAACCAAATCACCTGTCATGTTCTTCGGAAAGAATAGGGATCTTTTGGTGTCTGAACTTAGCATACAAGTGGGTGGCAAAGTTTCACAGTTTACAAATTTTGTCAAAAATCTTGGTCTAAGAATTAACAGTGATTTTCATTTTAGATAGCAAATTGGGTACTATTGGGTAATATAATTTCACCCGGTTCTTCTTATTTTCTAGTTCATTTTAGAAATCTTCGGCAGAAAGAAAATGACAGTGAAATATGTTTAGCTTCAATTTTTTAGTGAATTACGCTTTCAATGAGGCGTAAGCTATCTTAGTATGTTTTTGGGAAACTGGTGAAAGTTGAGCCCCAAAAGAGTCGAAAAAAAAAAGACAAAAGATGTCGACAAAATTATAAATCAACAAATAAGAGCTAAGCTTTATGATACAAACGTTAGATTCTGAACGAACACCACAAGTGATAGAGAGAAAGGGAAAATGAAAATAAAAAAGAACATAAAGATTTAAATGCTTTTTAACAAATTTTAGAAGAATTGACATTCAAACATTTAAATTGTTTAGGGACACTGTTGTATAGTTTGTAAAGGTTATAAGAAAATGATCTTTCATAAAATGAGGTATAGGGTGGAGGAAGCGAGATGTAGCCCTGAAATCTTAAATTGAAATTATGAAAGTTGGTTCTGTATTTAATCTTATTTACTAGATAAGAGGGACATTGATTATATATAATACTGTAAAACATTTAATTTCCCTTAACTTATGTGATGTTGGCATCTTCTTGCGTATACCATGTACAAGATTTTTGTACCCTCTGAATTCTGTCTTTATCTATTTTATCCAAATATGTAAAACGTGTTACACTATTTTACAAAAATTCGAAAATGCGACTGGCCGTTTTATATCTTCATTTAAACCTTGGGGCGGCTGCTGTTGTTTCATTGGGTGGAAAGGAGATATAAACCGTATAAATGTACAGTACTATAACGTAAACAACTATTGACGCTATCAGTGTAAATAGCAAAAAGAAGCGGCCCCAAAATGGAGCCTTGGGGTACCCCACAAGATGATATTTTCTTTTCCTAGTTTGTACAAATTGAAGACTACTTCCCAAATAGCTTTTAGTAAGTCCAATCGCGCTCTCCGCCAACAAAATACATAATCGCTAAAATAACTCATAATTTAACTTGTTAAAAGCTTTCGAATAATCCAACAGCATAAGTACAGCAGCTCCAAATATATCATCGCATTTGTACAACTGTAACCAATCCTCAAACAAGACTGATGCCTCGGAAGTATATTAAACACTTTTAAATGTTTCTACAACTCTTGAAATGACTCGTAATATGCTAATAGGTCTAAGTTCACTATGCTGATCTGGATTTTTTTTTAGGCATGAAAATTTTCCACAAACTAGGAAATTTCCCATCGAGCGGAATTGAATTAATGATATTAGTAATAAAAGTGAGAATTATATGACAGCTTAATAGCATCATATCCAGATTTATTTGATCGGTCCCTTTAGCTTGAGATTTGATTTGATATAATTGTTTTTTTACGCTTTCTTCTGCAACTGCATAAAAACTAAATAAAATAAAATTATTATTGATTATTAAAGTAAAAAATATTATTCAGTATATTTAAGCTTTCAGGGAAACAATTTTCATCTTTTTTTGGGCATATATTGAAAAGTTTTTTACAGAGAACCTTAAAATTGTAAAAATTATTATTTATACTGTAGTCCAGTCATTATTTATGGAAATATTAGTTCCAGTCCACGTCACTTTTGTTCCCCTTCCATTTGTTTCAGGCTTTGCTTTTCAGTTTGATCAAATGTCAGATGTCTTTTGAGTTAATTCCATTCAAATAAATCAGATATTCTAACTGCAAATTCGATAAAAAATTATTAAAAAGTTCTTAATCGATATCCTTAAAATTCCTGATTTTTATTATATATTCAGTTTTTTTGTCTATATTACAATAAACCAGTAAATGATCAGATATATGATCTGTATTCATTAACCCTTATTCTACTTTTTTCATTTTTGAAGTTATAATAACATCAAGATGTCAGTGTAAATTTTGTGGGTTCATTTATTACTTGCTGTAAATTTAAGGGTCGAATAGGCTCCGAAAATATTTCGCTACATTGATCTCATGATCATTTCTCAATAACATTCGTTTTCATAAAATAAAATTATTGATCTTGAACAACAATAAACAACAAATAATTAAATGGTTGTAACTGCAGTTATAAACCCCTTAAGTAAGAAATAAAATTTATATAAATATGTGTACACGTACAATGTTAAGGTCTTGTCAACCATTCTCGAATAAACGTTTTGAAAAAAAACAAATCCGTCTTCAAAAACGAAAACTCTGCTGGGAGTCGATCTCAAAAAAACGTTCAAAATGAATATCGTCGAAATGAATATATGACTTGGTGACTAGTGTGTCAACGGGCTTGTTCGAGAATCAGTGATTTTGAAAGAAGCAAACACTAATGCCAACTGAATATGGCTAGCATTAACACCTTTTCTGATAGTTAAATGTATTATTATAAATATATAAAATTATAAATTAACAACAACAGTGCCAAAATTAAATTTGTAGTGTTACCCTTCGTCATATTTGAAGTTTTTCAACTGAAAGTAGCTTACAATAGCTACTTTTGCTATATGTAACTCGTATATTGGATATTTTAAAGTGACATTATAAGTATATTTCAAGTGACCAGCATCCTACGCATTGCCGTGGGTGGTTTGAAACTAACTGAACTACTTCGTAGTAAACTATTTGGTTACATTCTCCCTTCACAAATATACACTTACAAGATTGCCTATGTACACTATTTACATAGCTAACGTCAAAATATCACTAATACTAAGCGATAACAACACTGAACCCGCCACACGAAAGACACCATTGACATTCGATGAACTTTCCTGTAGAAGACCTGTTCTGTTCTTTGTTAAGAGATGTCTTATGGGATACAGGTAGAATTCTACAAATTATACTTTCTGAATGGAAAGGAAATATCAATTTATTCGTCAAGCCATCTGGACCGATTCCAAATTTTAATTCAGAAATTTCGTTTCTTGATAACGTTATTCAATAATTTAGTTTTTTCTAATATTAAGCGTAGATATTTGGCCTTACTCCCTACTAATCAAAATTTATTTCGGTCCGTAGTCTATAATTTTAGCATATCAATTTAATTTTATGCAACAAATTGACTCATTCTCGGTCTTGTGAATTCACAACGCTCTTATTGACTCGACTTGGTTGATTGGCTTAAACGAAACGAGCATTGAAAAAAATCGACATTTTTTGTAGAAGTTATCTGCCCTTTACATACCCCCGCGATAGATTCTGGCGGAAGATTGGAATAAGCACCAACGGCAACAGAATTCCGTCTACTTTCCCGCGAAATATAAAATAGAAAAAATATATTATTTTATATTTAGAATGGAACTTCCGTAATATTTGACTTTGTTTGTATGATAACAAGTTTAACCACAAAAACATAAACACAAGTAATCTTTTCGGTTACTCTCAGCGTACCTAATAGGTATTTATCACTTCGGTAGATCGAGTCGTGTCAACAATGACATCATGCGTTAATAAATTTACATGAAAATGTCTGAATATCAGTTAATAATACGCGTCGGGGTTTGAATCCGCCTGTATTTTTACCAACATCTACTTAAATACTGTTTTAATTGTTTCGAAAGCTGTAATAGATTTGACGACAGCTTTAATTCCGATCTCCATAATTCGTATGACTACGACACCCATTTTATAGTCGTTCTTGAAACATGCGCAAGAAAGACACGCGTATTCAAACTCCCACGCTGACAATATAAAACTTTTCTGCCTACCTAGTATCACATTTTGGGGGACTAGAACTTAATTATTAACAACGCAAAACCGGTTCGAGAACTTGTTCGCTATATATTCGTTCGTTCATTAGCAAATTATCTGAAAATTATCGGTTCTACGCTACTGATAGCAAACACGCCTCGTAAACAACCGCCCTACTTAAAAGCGAATGTTTGGCTGCATACTTTCAGGCTATAATCGTGACACTCGCCAGAACTTTGTACTCGTTAAAACAGTAAGACATCTCTTGTAATTTTAGTTTTTAACCACTTCCATGCGAAAGTTTCGACCTATGCTTGGTTTGCGGTCCGGCTCACTGTGATCATCTGACTCCGAGTCTGAGTCGTAGATCGCCAGTGGACCATTCACGGCTGCGTCATCGTCGTCTTCAAGCTACGCGTACAACAACATTAAAAATTAACACACTCAGTTACTTTTAGCATTAGTTTTGACGAATATCTCGTTTGATTTCAGTACGAAATGAATATATACATAATGTGCAGTTTTATTCGTAATAATTTCGGTCCAGTTTTCATATTTTAATGAATCATTTTTACTCCCAATTTTATTATTAGCGTTATTTTGAAAAAATCTGACCACGCCACTGGATTTGAAAGCCTTTCGTGTAAAAAATTTCGTTGAAATACTCTCTCTATAATAATAAAAGGAAATTAGTTGTTTATAAAGTGTCATTAACCTAGTTATGGGAGTATTAAATGCTGGAAATCGTTAGAAGAATGATTAAATGATCATAGGAGGAAAATAGCCCATATTACTGGTATAGTGCTTTCACAAATAATTGATTTTGGCTTTTTGAAAGTAATAAAACTACCTGTGAGAGTCCCACTGTGTAGAAAAGGTCTGGGTAACGAAAGTGTGGAAGTGCAAGGTCGGAATGCAGAAAAAAAAGAATACCGAGTTTTGGGCCCATTTTAAAACTAAAACTGCAAATGAACATATATCCTAAACGTCTTAACTTTTGAGATACATTGTGGTAAAGTTTTCAAAAATAAAATATTTGTTTTTATCTGTTATAGTTTAATGGAATTTGGCACGCGGGTACTATATATCAAGTCAACAATTTTTTTTAAATACGCCAGTGGAGGGCGTACCTTTCTGCTCTGGCAGACATTGCTGGTTAAAGAGATTTGATTTCTTCATTTTCCAATCCAATGTACGGGTTTGAGCTTAAAAACATAAAAACCTCTTTTCTGCATAGTGATGCACTTAGTTTTTATTTTTAAGTGAAAACCGTGAGACGGAAAAAAAATAAGAGATCAAATCTGCTCATAAATATTTTGGTTAATTAGGTCGCCACTACACTGGTTAAATCAAAGTTTCACTCAACTTTCTATGTACCCCGTGTGCCAAATAAAACGATCTGGAAACCCATAGGAGATACGAAAAAAGGTTTCTTGAACTCTCTTGACGATTTAAAATATTATAATTTTGTTAATACAGGATGTCAAATAGTGTTTCTTTAAATGAAACAACCTGTATATTTGGACATTTTTGGAGTCCTTGGCTAAAATAAAGGTCACTTTCTTAACAAATTCCAATTCGAATTTTGCATAAATTGAGGTTATGTGTTTTTTTTTCATATTTTGATTGCCCCACATAAAATTGTGTTGTGACAAACTAAGGAGATGATGCAATACTCAATTAATTTGACAGATGTTAATCAGCTTATACAGGGTGTCCCAGATAGGTGGTGCCGTTTTGGCGAACTCATTTAACAAAATCTCAAGATTTTCAAATGGAACACCTTATATTTTCATTCAAATATCAATTCTAGGACAAAAAACAAGGTAAGTTTGTAATTTTTCTCATATTGAAATTTTACTTACTTTTTGAGATAATACATATATAAATTCATGTTGACTTTAAAGCTGCCTACATTAGGTCACCTGTTGGCAATGTTAGGTATTTTTTAAATAGCAAAGACACGATACTAGTTCTTTTAAGATATACGAACAAAACCTATTGCTAGAGAATTTGAGAAAAATCGGCTCTCTACTACACATTTTAACAGATTTAATAAAACTTCAGAATTAATATTTAAAGAAACATTTAATAGTTACTTATCAAGCTTGATTGAAAATAGCTAATAACAAAAATAAATAATTACAGTTTATAGGTTAACCAAAAACTACAACTTATTTAAAATACAAATAATATATATACTAACAAAAAACTTGCCAACTATGAACTTTTTAAATAGAAATATGAAAAAGAACCAAAACAAACAGAAATGTTTGTTTATACCTTAATGCGTCAAAAAAAGATTGTGATGTCATAGCCAACTAGATTTTTAAATATTTTGATATTTCTTTGTTGTTTTGGTCTTAAAGGACCGAATTAACGAACCTTTTTTAGTTAACTTTTTTTTACAGATTTATTTATTCAAATTTGTTACTTAGGTTAGTTAGTTAAGTAAAGTTTTAATTATTTATTTTTGTTATTTGGTATTTTCAATGAAGTTAGATAATTAACCATTAAATGTTTCTTTAAATATGAATTCTGAAGTTTTATTAAATCTGTATTGTTAGCAAAAGGTTTTATTCGTATATCTGGAGCATTATATCTTTAAAAGAAGTAGGATCATTTCCTTGCTATTTAAAAAATACCCAATATTGCCAACAAGTGACCTAATGTGGGCAGGTTTAAATTCAACAAGAATTTATACGGGTGTTATCTTAAACCTCGAATATCTCAAAAAGTAAGAAAAATTTAAATATAAGATAAATTAGAGACTTTTTATTTTGTAAGTGGTTAAAGTTCGCCGAACTATATAGCGTTTTTACAACCTTTTATGGTTTTGACTTCGGAATGAGTTTAAGACTCGCCTATTGCAAAGCGGAAGGAACCATTCTTTTCAGCACGTGTACCACAATCCAGGACCGTATTTGAAATTTTGGCTGACAAGAACTGTGCCGTGTGGACTGTTGTATTTTAAGAGTGGGGAAATTTTATATGATTGAACTGCTTTATGCTGCTGCTTTTTTATAAATCTTCCAAAAGCAGTCCCGACTTGAGGTAGCTCGATTTCAAGTTGAATTTGCCCATTCGATAGGTTGATCTCCTATATTAAAAACATATTAGAAAGCTTAAACTGACTTCCAATTTAAGGGCTTAACATGACTCTAAAATATTTTCCTGGGAGAGCACTACAAAATTTTAAGTAAATAATTGATTTATTACAATGGATGTTTTCCCAGTTTGCTATTGCTGAGTTTCATAAAACAGTAATTTCTTGGCCGTCGAAGCTTTGGAGTTTTTTCTATTACCTCTTGTGCTTGTTATTAGTAATTGTATGCCATTATTGAGGTACCATATACATTTTGTTACAATTCATTTCTTACCAAATACTAACATTATTCAATTTTGTTAGTCACTTGCGATATAAAGCGACGAAGAAGGTGAGATTGTGGTCGATGACGTAACAATGGTTGATGACGAACAATGGATCAAAGACTAGGATACATTTGCCGGTTGTTGCCAAAATTATAATTTTAAATGTGTTTTTGTTTCTGGAATCGACATCTGGGGAAAGTTGAGCCATAAAATTAACGTCCGAGATGCCGGAGTAGCGAGACGGTTGATCTTTAATGCGAATCAGGAGAATATTGTTTTAACAATTGAAACTTCACATGAAGAGTTGCGTAGTGTTTTGAACTTTGACTGTTGCCAATAGACTCTGCGTGCGTTCGTACCAGGAATTGTTTCTTTTTTTATTACAAAACCATCAACGGGAGACAAGTTTTGATGGAATCAAGAAGAATTTTGAAGTGGCGGACAAGGTATTTGAGAGAAATCCAAGAAATCGGATTGAAATTGGAAATGAAACCTGGTTTGATAGCCAAGATACCATCAAGAAAGGATGGACTGATGGTAACAGCAGGAACTGTTGGATGTGCGGGCTCTGAATCTGGTTAGTTTTGCAGGAAAAGCACTATATTTCTGGTGGAAGGATACCTCCTTTTACTACCTTTCTGCTGTAGATAAATTCTTAAGGTTAGGGGTAAGGGTCTGCTGGGCAGGGTGTCTTATAAGGGGCTGCAGTTTTGGAGTAATAAACACGGGGTCGGTTGTAAAAGCAGTATATTTTTGGTGCAAGTATAGACCTTCATAAAAATTTACCAAAGTTAAATACCGGATTATAGCACCTGTTCTTATTGCAGTCATTAAGTCATAACCATTTATCTGTGAACGCACTATTGATGAAATTCAATTTTCTCCTTGTTCAAAATTAGTTTTTCCAAATCGGAAAAATGAAATGCAAAAAAGAAAACCTAGAAAGCGTGCGGGACATGCAAAAACGTTCATCATGCACAGACGTTCCTCTAACTTTACTTACATTAAACCTCAAAGTCGCCAATTGTGAATTTGTTTTTGTGAGTGCCTGGGGCCGCAATGCAGGGACCATCGGGGCTTGTTAATTGCTCCTAATTGTTAATAAAGTCACCCGTTTAGCGCATAATGAACGACGTTACTCGAAAACAAGCAATGTCGAAGCTATAGCCTACTGACTGTATCCAATGATTAGCGTCTATGAGTGAAACTTTTAAGCAGTCGTTAGGTCAGGGGAAAATCGTCGAGATTTTTCCTTATATGTGGAAACATTTACGACGCCATGCTTGTAACGTAGAAGAAAACATAACTCGATTTTGGTGAACCTAATTTATATGCTATTTTTTAAACTATTTTATTACAAAGCTATCTACCAATTTTTGTTTTCTTTGATTGACAATTTACTCATTTACAAATTACTCAGTTTGTTTTAGTTGAAAGGCTTTGATCAACATGAGCAGTGGTGGACATCACTTTTAACATTGACGCCTATATAGCATACGGGTGGAATATAAACAGTGCTTTTGTTATACCGGGTGATGCATTGCCGAACAAAACATAAGAAATTCCATGTAAATTTTTAGAGGCCCAAATAATGGCTCCCCTATACATTTTACAGCAAAAGTAGTAATAAAACTTTTTGAAAGGGCCGGTAATAAGCCAAAATTGGGTTATTGAATTAAATATGATGGCGAAATTATTTTTTTTATAGTTTAAGTAATAAATAAATAATTAAAACATACCTTTTGACAATGAAAGGTTCAAAATACTCGTTGTTACACACTCGGTTCTTAAAACCTCCTTGTACCTTAAGGTTCTTGCAATGAATTTCATTTAAGGGACGGTTAAGTAACAGGGAAGCTTCAAGAAACGACTTTAAATTTGACCCTCACATCTTTTATCAAAAATAATCAATAATTTTAATTAAAATACGGCTACAAAACATTGCTAAAAAGGAACATTTAAAATAAACATTATTTTTTAAGTAAATGTTTAGACAACCTTTCATTAACAGTTGCTTAGTTGATATTTTGATATCCTGTCACATTCTAAGGAAATAGCGTTTTGTAACTGGTCAAGATTTGGAAATTTATAATTTTTCAAATGATCTGTGACCTAGGTGGCCAAACGATTCGGCCTCAAATACTCCATAACCATACGGGAAGTATGAGCGGGACATCCTCCTGATTTGATTTTGTAATAAGTTCAAGTAGGTTTGGCCTGTGGGGTCCATAAAAAATGGCCCAATAATATGGTGTCCGCAAATTCCCACCATAACATTTAACATTCATTGTCTGTACATTCATCAGTGAAACAAATATGGTTTAATGTTTATTTACAACTTGTCCAAGAATCCTGGTACGAATCATTTTATTCTCCTTCGTATGCAGTGAAATGTTCAAATCTCTGTCGTCATTTTTTTCTGCCCCATTATCGACATTTTCAGCTTAGCATTTCCAGTTATTTATTATATTGCCTTTAGATTGGAATAGGGTGATAATACGCTTAATTGTTGAAACCGGAGATATAGTTTTAGCAGGAAAATTAATTGAAAACTTTTCTTCTGCATAATACTACAAACTGAACTTTTCGGAGTCTGTAAAGCTCCTGGGAATTACATTGGATTCGGGGCTTCTTTTTGAGATGTGAGTAGAAAACGTTGTTCAAAAGGCTCTAAAGCAGTGGTCGCCAACCTCGTCAATGTGTTGGGCTACTTTGTTCATTTTGGAATAAACAGTTAATTTATCATTATTTGTATTTATTTTACTATTTAACTTTAACTGGTAATACATAATACATATAACATAATAACTAATGTTACTAGTATGTACTTGTTCATAGCTACATTCCTACCTACCAAACGAAGGTGTTTGAAAAATAAACACAAACTTTTATCCAGCCTCAACGGCACGTCACGTAAGATTTAAAAATAGTTAATAATAACAACAAAAAAGTAACGCACTATCATGAATATAAACATTGAGAAATAAAAAAGCACGTTCAATGAGAAGGCTCATCGATAATTTTTTTAATGTTTGCAGTATAATTTGATACAGCCATTCGAATACAATTATCCAAATGCTCATCTGTAAGTCGATTGCGATATTTGTTCTTAACAAGATTCACACAAATAGGTTGAAATGAATAATGCTTTCATTTTCAAGGCAACACGGCATAGAACTGAATAGTTGTCTTTACTTACAATAGCCCAGATACATTTGGTAGTTGAGACTAACGATTTTAAGGCTAAAACTGTTGGATATCAAACTCTTGACTGGAACCTTCGGCACTGCACTAACACCCAATAACGCGTTTTACCACAAACCGAAACTCAATTTTATGTACTCCATGCGCGTTTCGCCAACCAAGTTGGCATCTTCAGGAGAAGATTAATTAAAATATGGAGAGCCACCTGCTGAAGAATGGATTCAGTGCTTCAAATGCGAAGATTGGTGGCATGAACAATGCACCTCTTATGAAAGAAGTGTATTTTTATGCGACTTATGCAAATAAATATGTGCCTGAAGACTGCGAACAGTTACCCCAATGGCAGGACAAGTGCGCGCACAATAACTTGTTTTAGTTCTTTAATAATAAGACCGAGAATCCCAAAGTTTATGTTATTTATTTTTCATATGTTTATTTGTAATGGGCCAATGTAATAAATACTTGGTTCTGTACTTCCTAAATATAATAGTTTTCTTTTTAACATACTTTAAGCGTGAAACTGCGTTCACTTACCCCAAGCGACTCTACTACCTAAACTACCCCTTCGAAAAGTTATATTACAACTTTGCTATAAAATGTACAAGGGAGCCAAAATATGGCCATGGAATTTCCTACGTTCCGTTTGGCAATGCATGGTATATTATTACATTCCGGGTAAAAGCTTCAGGCTTGTATTTACTTTTCTTAGTTTGATATAAAAAAAAACAATGTTCGCTTCACTTACGTCGACGTCCGTGATCATCTCTTTCGTTGAAACGGTAGTGTCTATACGTCGTATGGATCCTTCGTGGATGTTGATGTCCATCTTGAGGATCTGATATCGTCTCAACAAGCAGACAATAGGTATGGGCAGAATGCTTATCAGAATCATCGTGCCAGCTATAGCGAGAACCCAGCCTGGATATGGGGTTTTCTCGATCACACCCTACGGAAAATATAGGGTTTAAAGACTCGCATATTGAGACTGTAATTTCCAAAGTCATAATTTTCTATATTGTAAATTCAGTAGCCTTAGTAGTGTTATTGTAGATTCATTCGGTTCATTTAACAATTCTTAAGTGGTCAGGTCAGTTCACTTTATTTCCATGAGAAAAATTAACAATTTATGTAGGTATAGTTACAGAAATTAAGTACTTAAAGCCAAAATATCTAACAAAGTGCATGATATAAAAACATTGTTCAACTAAGTAATCTTTAGTTTTGACTCAAAGTTTCTTTCTAATTCACAATTTTTCATTTCTGCAGGTATCTTGTTAAAAATTACTGGCCCTCTATTTTTTGGCGATTTATATGAATTGTCGACCTACTGGTGTTTATTTACACAGAAGTCATGCTGAGTCTGAGTTTTGCAAGAGTGATTTTTTATTTTTGAACGCATACATCTAATATGTATGTATGTTTTACCTTGGTTTTTACTTTAATTGTTACAGTTACTGTTGTTTGTTGCTTTTCCCTGGTACTATTACTTGTTTTAAATTTTTAAACTTCTTTTATAATTATACATATTATTTTAAGTCGAACTGAGGTAGCTTTTAATTGATGAAAATCCATTTAGCAAAATAAATAAGAACTAAAAGTTCAGATTTTCACGAAATTATATATTATGACATGACAATTGTTTCGACAACACCGTGTCTTTATCAAATCACATTGAACTGAACTTTTAGTTCTTATTTATTTTTATTTTAAGTCGTTGACGATATAAAAAATGATGGCGCTTTAATTTCCTAAACCTATAAATCTCTGTATTACCGTACCTAGAAAGAAGGCCCATCCCCATTGCAAAAATCATTGAAATTAATTAAAAAATCAGGGATATGCTTTTTAAAAATTCTTTAAAATAATTTGGTGTCAGTATTTCGAAAACCATTAGATTTAAGTATAGGCATATATATATATATATATATATATATATATATATATATATATATATATATATATATATATATATATATATATATATATATATATATATATATATATATATATATATATATATATATATATATATATATATATACCAAATTATAGACTTAAAAAAAAAAGAATACTGCAAGTTAAAATTCTAAAAATGTGTCCTTTATTTTAAGACACCCTGTATAATTTTAAAATATCTAGTAATCTCAGATCGTTAGAAGGAAGCCTTCTAAAAATGTAAATATTTACTAAGAACATAACTTTTTTTTTCTAAAATCAGTAGTTTCTGAGAAAAGGTGCTCTGGACCTTAATATCCGTTTCTGGACCATAAAAACATCTTCCCAGCAGGAAGAAGACACTCCATATTGTTTTAAGATTCCACATTTAAAGGGTTAATTTGGATTAATTGTAATTGTATTTGAGACTAGATAATGGCAGTAATATTTGAATTTTAGGTTATGGTCGTATATAAACGTAGAAATTTAGTTTTTCAGTAGTTGTGATGATGTTATTATTTACTTTAATTTCCAGATTTTTGCTGGTTTTTTGAGGCTGATGGAATCTCGAAGATGCCGATTTGGAGGGATTGAGATGCAAGCTAGGGTTAAAGAACCAATTATATGTTACTATTTTTTAGATATATGCTTGTTTCCTCTTTATTTGTTTGAGATGGGTCAGAATATTGTAGGAATTAAATATATTACTTTGGTAGGACCTTTTTCTGGGTTCCCGCAGGAGTTTATCGTGGGGTTTTTTATTCTATATAGAGTGGTTTTAGACCGTGGCCAGTTTCTAGACCTTATAGTTTTATAGTCTTATAATTTTTGGCTAGATGTGTTTGTGTCGTTATTTACCCATTGCTTATTCCTTCTGTTGGATAATAATTTTTTAGAGGAAAGTATTTATTAAAATATAGCTTTCTACTCGTAAGGTATTTTCAAAATTCTAATTCTGTATAATTTGCTAGTCATAGCTTCTTTTCCCGAGTTCTATGATCTGATACGGCGTTATCGCATACACCTGACAACTGAACCCAGAATCAGAATCAGCAGGATAGCTATTAAAATTAAAGTCCCCACGAACAAACACAATCTCTGATAAAGATTTCCTCCATAAACTGTTCACGCACATTTACAAATAATTTTGGATCCCCACTGTAACAATTCATAATTAGAATTCTTGCAGTCTTATCTATTTTGCACGTAACTGCAATTATTTGTATTTATCTATCAATACACACACCATTGACATCGATGAATATTTAATTAATATTTTCTTTTAAGTAAATCGCTAGATGTGTCACTATCCGTTATCAAGGGAAGGCTAATTTTAAGTCAAGCATGATATTGTGGTCCATTGTAGGTATTTCCACGCTTGGATTGCTAAAGACGTTTTTAATGAATACAGTTTACTTAAACTTGCGCTTTTTTCAAGTGTTACACTCGCCTACTAAGTTAGATGTTAACGACAGCTCAAATCTAATTCAAAGTCAGAACACCAAAAGTCTCCCGTTTAAGAAATTAAATCTTTAAAATTGTAAATGAGGAGAACCATGATTAACTTTTTTGAGACGTGCGCTCATCCAACTCCAATGTTACCTCGAGTGTCCCCCAGGGAACTCATCTGGGCCCGTTACTATTTAATATTTTTGTTTTTATGTTGGCTTTTGTTTTCACGTTTCTATTCACGTTTCTTTTGCCGATGATTTAAAAATAAAAAAAGAGATTCGCCTACATTCGGATGTATTCGAGCTCCAGAGCGATCTTGACAGATTACGTTATGGCAGAAAATATATTCTATTTACAAGGAAAAAGGATTTTATAAATGCTTATAATGCTTGATAATAAACATTTTAAGAGAGTTAAGCAAGTAAAAAACTTGGGAATTGTTTTTGACTCTCAGTTCAACTTTGAGGCTCATATCGAAACCAATGTCAAAAAATGTTTGAAAAATCTGAGAATTGAGAACTACCATCCACAGTTTGGAATATTATTTATAATAAATATACCATCAGAATAGAAAGTATACAAAAAACACTTTTTCTACTCCCATCTGTAAAATACCTAATTACCCATCGATCTAGCGTGCAGGAAGCGTCACTTTACCACGTCAGTTTCGTTTCCCACGGATCCGAGCCACTTCGGACATTTCAGGGATTTTACCGCACTGGTTTGAGAGCAATCGGATGTTTTCGGAGATATTTCCCACGCTTTGAATTTTGACGTTTGTCAATTCTGACCATTATGTCAGTGTTGTTTTGCGAAAATGTACCCAAAAACTAAAGGCCGCAGAAAAAGTTTAGTATGTAACACGTTCGGTAAACTTTTTAACTCACTCGTTTATTAAACACTCGCTCCGCTGCGCTCCGCTCGTGTCAGATAAACTCGTGAGTCAAATGCCGTTTACCGCACTTGTTGCACAATATACTATTAACAACTTAAACTTTAGATACAACACTTTTACTAGTAGGAAACAAATTTTACAATTTGAAGTCGCTTGAAGCTCGAAGAAACTGTTTTCAGGTTGCTTTTCTTTATAAACTTGTAAATAATTTTGTAAATTCTTCTTTTTGTGCAAATTACTTGAGCTTTAACGCTAATCCATATCCATATAATTTCAATAAAACGATTTAGGTCGAATTACTTACTTACTAACTCTCCCATAATAAGATGTGCACCGGCTTATAATAACTTTGTTTTTGATATATTTAATTTAAGTTTCGACTTTATTGTAGAATACACATCAATATTTGATGTGGTGTTGTTTGGTCCATTCATGTTCCCCGATTCCTGACCTTTGGATTTCACCCCTCAATGTGTGTCTTCTGCGTTCTTCAACTCTGTTTCTCCAATATATGACTCTCCTCAGTACTTTATTTGTAGATGTAGTGAAAACTCCCTATAGCGAGACTCTGTATAAGGTAAAACTCTGTATTACGAACAAAATTTGTTGTACTACTAGGTCTCCATAAAAAGCTATGTATTAATCCACTCTGTGTAACGAATTTCTCACTCTCTGTGCCGAAAGAAACAAGGGCACATCAGGTAATGAAGTAAGGAATGTAGGCCGATTTGTTAGTAATAGAGTCTCTTATTCCTTACCGCAATAATCTAATTACCGAGAATCTGGTCGTCGTAAGTGTTTTTCTCGTAATAAGCATTTCATTTCTAATTTGACTTAGTGAAAAAATTTTATCTCTAGATGATGAAGCTGCTTCAATTCGGGAGATAAAACGGGGAGAAAAAAAGTGCTGTGGGACGTCGATCCGGATTTATCCACGATTTGGAGTCCCGTGTGTGAGGCGGGGAGCTCTCGAAGCCTGGGCGAGAGACCGGGCCGCGGGGAGCTGGAGCGTTGCTCCGGGAATGAGGCAGACGAGGCTTATGGTGGATGGGCCCGCCCTCCCTCGGACCAGGGAGCTGCTTAAACTGACCAGAAGGGAGTGTAGAGAACTAACAGGGGCCTACACAGGACATTGCAGGCTTAGGAGGCACCTTTGCTTGCTAGGCATTGGAGACGACCCGGAGTGTAGGTGGTGCATGGAAGGGGAGGAGACCCCATATCATCTGCTCACCGAGTGCCCTGCCTTGAAATGGGCAAGACTGGGAGTCTTCGGAACGGCACGGTATTGGGCTAAAGGAGTTACTGACCTTCTATAGGAGGGGCGGCATTCTGGACGCCCTCTAGAGCGGCCTGGGGGCACAACGGGCCTATCTGGTGGCCTAAGTGCTTGGACGTCCGCGAGAGCGCCCCCCTTTAATACCAATACCAATACCAATCCACGATTTGGAAGTGGAAAGAAAAAATCATTCACGCTGAAGCGGCAGGCAGTTCTAGTGAAAAACTAAGAAAGCCAAAATTTGAAGATTTGGATCGGGCAATGTTGCAGTGGTTCCAACAGCAACGTCTTAAATGTGTACCACTCTCTGGACCTATCGTAAAACTAAAAGCAGAAAATGTTGCTGAAAAGCTTGGCAGAATCGATTTCAAGGCTTCGGAAGGATGGTTGGGGAACTTCAAACACAGACATGGTATAATTTATGGACAGATAAGGGGCAAAGCCCGTGATGTCAACAGAAACGTCACTAACGATTGTCTGGAGACGACGTGGCAAAAAACTAGCAGAAAATGCCAGATTAAAACTCTTAAGTTTCGACGCGAAAAGTATGTGGATGGAAAACTTTCTAAAGAGCGTATAATAGTGTTAGTATCTGCCAATATGAGTGGGAGAGAAAAAGAAAGCTAGTCGTGATTGGAAAATCAACCAACGATGTTTTAAGAACATCAAGCATTTGCCGGTCAATTACAAGGCAAACAAATCTGCATGAATGACAACGCAAATTTTTGAAGAAGAGATACGGAAATGGGATGCAGAATTAGAGGCGAGGAAAATATTATTTTTCTTAGATAACTGTCCTGTACATCCCCATATTCTAAATCTACTGAATATTGAATTGGCATTTCTTGCAGCCAAAGCAACAAGTGGATGGCCAGCCGATGGACCAGAACGTAATAAAAAGTCTTAAGAGTCGATACAGGAAAAACATTTTAATGAAATGATCGAGTCCGAAGACAAATATTCAATTAATATGCTAGATGCAGTCAACTTTATTAGTAAAGTTTGGAAAGAGGTGACAGCAGAAACAATTCAACACTCCTAACGTTATGCAGGACTTATTACCGATACAGAATGCGAACTGAAGACGATCAGCCACTAAGCGAGTGGATAAAGCAGTTTCAAATAACAATTACGTTTACAGGTGAGCAGTTGCAAGATTTTATGGTGATAGATCAGGATTTACCTACAACAGCAGACTTTACAGAGGAACCCATATTACAACAAGCAAGAAATGGTGAGGAAGAGCACCAAGAGGAAGAAGAAGATGAAGAAGTCGATCTGGACCACCACCAACAAGCCCTATATTCAGTTAAGCTGCTAGATAATTTTTTTATATATCATGGGGAAGATGCCCCTCTCGAAGAAATGGAAAGAAAATTACCGATTATTTGAAACATTAAATGTTTATTTCAAATGTTCCTGAGTAGATGTTAAAATATGTATATAAAATAATTAAATATTATAGAACACATATAACTCTTTATAATGAAAAAAAAAAACAGTCCCTTCATATTTGGAGCTATATAGAGTTTCGACTGTATTTTATAAAACGTAACGTTCTTCAGACGTTGGTAGCTTTGACGTGAAAAGTTTAGGCACCATGGAAGAATCGTTAGACATTGCCGAGGCCAGAATGAGGAATGATACAACACCTCAAGACAGAACAACTTAGGTGCTGTCTGCATAGCCCTTACTTTCAAGTCAACGATAAGTTTCATGCACAAGATGATGATGATGAAACTAGGAATCATCCAAACATTCTGCAATATGCAGTTAGGAAGTATCAGTCGATGTATCAGTTTTAAAGGGGATTTGATTCATACAAAAAGTATTTGCTAAACTCAAAAATGTATTGATAAAACATTATAGATGTGAAGGCAATCTCAGAACCCTCAGAAACCTTAGAATTAAAATTAGTAAGTACTTGAAAAAGAGTATATAGTATTACATCTGCTCGAAATGCTGTGTAAATCAAAAATAAAGACAATGCAAGTTCGATAGTCTCTTAGTATTTCTAATAATTGTATTGCTACTCAAACTGATCTACACAGACTTTAAAGTTTATCGTTAAACAACATATTTTTAAAAATATATCATCTAAATGAGCTGAGCTAACTACGTTTTGGCAATAAAGTAATTCCGGACCTGTTTACCATTTCGTTTTAGTTAAATACGAAAATATTGCTCGAACACCCTGCATTTCGTAGAGTTTCAAGTTGTCGTACTTTTTGAGCGTTCCACGCGGCGTAGGTGGGCCTCTTGATGACCATCGACGTCATTGAACACGCCAATATGATAACCATGATGGCGGGCGCCAGATATCTCCAGGTGATTTGCCAGTACGGGCCTGGCCTCACTCCCGTCATCTCGTAGATGTCTTTGGTGAATTTCTCGTGGCCGTAGATGTAGCTGACGGCGATCATTTCCATCAGAGCGACGACGACCAAGCCGATCGTGCCGGCGAAAGAATCGAACATGCTCAACCAGTATTCACCGGCCCCGGTAGTGAATATAAGACCGATGAGGAAACATACGAAGCATACGGTAGCTGAAAATACATCAAGTATGGTCAGAGAAAAAACGTTTAGTCTAGTTAGTCAGTTTAAAATGGCGTTAATTTATGACGTCTTCAAATGCACAAGAAAGCACCATACCATACCCGATCAGTTGATTGAATTATATGGCATTATATTCAATAGTTTAATCTCTCCAATTTCATAGGCATATACTCAGAAAAATAATGTGTTTTAAAATGCACAAGAAATCATCATACCATACCTTTTGGTTTATTGTATAGGCTGTTGTTTGTTAGGATCAGTCGATTGAATTATATGACATTTTAGTCAATAATCTCTCCAATTTCATAGACATACATACACTCAGAAAAATAATGCATTTTAAAATGCACAAGAAATCACCATACCATACCTTTTGGTATATTGAATAGGCTGTTGTTTGTTACGATCAATCGATTGAATTATATGGCATATGGTACAAATTAGTATTTAGTAAAAAAATATTTTTTTGAATTTTGAAAAAAAGATCCTTAAAGAGGAGGAGAGATTCTTTTAAAAAGTTCCCGAAATTGTACCTCCATCATTAATAATTTAAATTTAACATTAGTTGCGCGCACGGCGTCGTAAGTTACAAGGGAGAAATTTTTTAGGGCATATAAAGTAGATTAAAAAATCTAAAAAAACTGATTACCTTTGTAATTTTTCACTAAAGTTAATTTTCAAATGAATCAGACCAGTTTTAATCAACAACTTTTACTGGGACTTCTTTATCATTGCAAATTAAAAAATATTTAAATAATTGCCATAAAATTTTTTGACTTCGTGGAGCCTTTCTTGTATACCTATAAAATAATATAGTGTGATAAAAATTTCAATAGATTTAATTCTTTGTTTATATATATATATATATATATATATATATATATATATATATATATATATATATATATATATATTTTAAGTTAACACAAAACGAAAATTTACCGTTACGTACAAATTTTTTTTCGTTTGTCATTAGATTACCGTTATTATGTTAACAAAAGACATTTAAAAACTTAAAAAAAGGGCTTAATTTTTTTATAATTTTTTTAAAAACAATTAATGTTTTTCCATGTAAATAATGGGTTAAGAATTTTTCTTAAATCATAATTGGCAGTTCTCTACAAACTAGCAAATAATTTTTTTCTCATTAACAATTTTATTGAATATTATATTAACAATTTGTTATAAAGAAATTGCTAACTTTTCCTAATTTTTTTCTGAGAGTTGTATCAAAATACTGAAAAAACAAATTATTTTCATTTTTTTTATAGTTTGAAAATAAACGTATTACAAAAGTTGCGGTAGCTGATCCATTTGCTGACTGAAAAACTAACCGTTAGAGATACGACAATAAAGATTCAGGTCATTTTTGTTGATAATAAAATATCGAAAAAAATTTTTTCCGGTATTTTGACTCACAGTGACGTTTCCGTAATTCTTAAAACTCAAAAAATATAATTAATTAATAAAATTGTTAATCAAATAAAATTTTTTGTTTGTTAATTTGTCGACAACTGTCAATTATTCAAACAATATCTACATTTAAAAACAAGTTTATAAAAAATAAAAAAAAATTGTTATTATTTAATATAAAACAAAAGTCCAAATTATAAAAAAAGAAGCTAAAATTATTACTTTTTAGTTAATAAATGTCTTTTGTGAATACAAGAACCTTAATTTAATGGGAAATGAAAAAAAAAATTACAACATTATGGTGAACTTATATGTAGTACATGCAGCAAGTTATCCCAGCAGAAAACATTTAGTAGAATGAAATTTAGTAATACTATTTATAAAACTTCTGGATTTCTCTTTCATCGGTTGTTCATGAATCAAATTTTTGTGAATAGTGTCACAGTAGCCTGTGAAAGTTTCTTTGAAAAATTAAAGAATTTAGTAATGTTTGCGCGAGTTAATCCTAATCCGTTAGGAACGAAGAAAACGTTATTTATTTTCTTGCCTATATCCACATTTAAACTTAAGAAGAATAAGTTATATCAGACTTAAGACTGTGGTAGAAGAGGAATCCAATTTTTTATTTCGAATATTATGAACCTATAAAGCTACGGTTTGGATGCATGAAAATGGGTGGAGTTTGAACGTTTGGTGTGGTATTTTGGGTGGAGCACCATATCTCTTTAATGATAAAGTTAATGGCTAATGTATTTTATTAGATAACGTTCCTTTACCAACGAGAAGACGTATGTGGCTGCAAAACGATGGATGTTCAGCACACTTATCTCACGAAGTTAGGAATTTTTTAGACTAGACTTATCCAAACCGTTGGACAGGCCGGCCTGTCAGATCTCCGCACCTTACTGTAATGCGATATATCCCTTAAATCATGGAGAACTCACAATAGATCCATAGCTTAGCCACTGCAATCTGTTTTTTTCTAAATTATTATTTACTAATAACGCAAGGAAGAGACAAATATATTATTAATAAAGCCAGTAAAAAGTCTGTTCTAGTTTACAGCTTTTCTGTTATTCGATATGCGCAGCTGATTGCAAATATCAGACGATGAATAAATGACCATGGCGAGTTGATATAATTTTGTAAACAACAATTGGAAGATCGAGCATTTAGATACCTGTAATGTATTGTTTGCTGACTCTTTTCAAGATCTCAATGTCGAATACGGTGCAGAGCATGCCCTCGATGATCCCGATCTGTGATCCGATGCCCAAAGAGAGAAGCATGAGGAAAAATATGATCGCCCAGAACGGCGGTACCGGGAGATTGGCTATAGCTTCTGTGAACACTATGAAGGCCAATCCGGTTCCTTCGGCAGCCTGCGGTGTTAAAATAAATGAAAAAAATATTCACAAATTTTATTTTCGCTTTTTTAATGGGAACTACTTTCTTTAGTCGGTTTCAAAAGTTATGAGAAAATGATGAATACAGAAGTTGTGAAGATTGTTAGGATAAACGATTTAAAATTATCTTAAAGTATAAAGAGTGGCACAAAAAAAGCGGGACGAATAAAAAAAGACTTTTTAAAGACCCAAATTCTTTTTATTTTTTCTTTAATTTTTCTAAAAGAATATTAGTTATTTACCACTCATATTTGATACTAGCGTTATTCGCAGATGACGTAAAAGATATATGCAACGGAATTTGAATTAGATGCTACAGGGTGTTCAATCAATTACCTACCTCTGAAAATAATGGTGCTACCGTAATAAAACTAGTATTTTTTTTGGAAAAATTAAGATATTGGAAAAGCTATTAGGTCTAGGTATGTATAATTATTAATAAAAAGGTTGAAGAAATTTAAAAAGAATTCAAAACAATATTTAAAAATAAGGTTTTCCATTTTAACAAATACGTTTAATTCTTTGAGCTTTTTTGAGCCACTCTGTATAGTTTAAAATAATTTTAAATTGTGCATACTAACAATCTTTGCAACTTTTGTATTTATTATTTTCCAAACCAATGAGATAACGACTCGCCCTCTACAAGAATGTTAATGTAAAATAATGAATTAATAATTGAATGCAAAAACAATAAAATACTAAATATAAGTCCAATAAAAAAACACAACTAACATGTGCACTTATTTTTAGGATGTTTTTAAAATTTAATTTGTTAAAGGACTGGTAATTTTGTGTGTTTTGTAATTGAAGAAGACAAAACATTAAAAGAAAAAAATTAATGAAAAAACAATAATTTCAGTACAAGCAAAATTAAGCCACAATGGCTGAACTTTACTCTATCGTTGATTCACCCTGTACAGTTCGAGGCACAACGTAATAAATAATGTGATACTTTTGTTGTCCGTTGAAGGGTCAACAGTTTAAACCTATTTCCAAATTTCATCAAATTTCAGAAAGGGTCTAAATATGTCAATTTTTTGTTTTCTAAAATAAATAGATTAATAACACATAAACCGATATACCAGCTTAAAATAGGAAAAAACGTTTATGTAAGCAAATTGATTTTATTTCCGCAAATTAAAAAATCATTAGTTGAAGTTTCTAATGCTTTTGGGTTCTTCAAAAAAATATCAAACTGCAACCGCTGAAAAGCATGAACTTACTAAGTAAGTCTGTGATTTTAATGCTCACAATTTTTTGTATTTGATACTGTACCAAAATTATTTTAAAATTTGTGGAAGACGTATTGAAAATAAAAAAAAAACATTTTTTATCTCGGTATACAAAAAATCGTTTTCGACCCATATTTATTATTTTTTCAGCTAAGTAGCGCGTTCCTGGTTCTCTGTATTTTTGTTTCTGCAGTCAATGAATAAGTTTCCCTTACCTGGTTCAATTCAGTCTCCATGGAACAATTTAGAGATGAGTCGTTCCTGAAATCAAATCAATAATATAAGAGTGAAATTATTTTGCAATTCATTTTGAACAAGTATCCTATTAAATTATTGCCATGTGTTTCAGGGCTCAGAGTTTACAGTATATTCGGTTAGTTCCATAAGCGGCGATGCTCTATCGATCGAAAATATTTTTAACGTTGCGACGTTGCCGCTTCTTCGAAAAAGTAGCATCAACATTGACATTTTAAATAGGACACTTTGTACATTACTTTCCCTTGTCACCATTTTTGTATCTGGTAAACAAATCATTAGTTTTGACTAGTCCTGTATAATGTAGATCTAATTGCAATATTAAGAAATACTGTTCGATATCTCCCTAAGCAACGTCCAGAATTTTAATTTTCTACTGGCTCCAATGTCGTGTTAATAAAAATTAAGTTAGAGCTTTGCGTTGGTCGAAAAATAAAGAAAATAAGATAGATGTAGTGTTGTAGATTAGTAATAAACATGAGTTTATTATCAGCTTTATTCAATTAAGTTTATACACAATAGTAATTAGTAATAACCAGTTTTTTCAGTGACACGCGCAGCATATTCCTTTCGTATCGTATCAAAACATAACCTAATTCTTCTTCTGAGGGCTAAACACGGAATACAGAGAATATAGACAAAAGCATTACCCATATCTCAACATATAGGAACGTATTATTCAAAAAGTATTATTATTAAAGTATTAGCGGAAATATATGATGTCCCACTTAAAATTTCAGTGTTGTTGCTACTTTTTAGAAAAAATGCCAACGTTGCAAAGTAAAAAATATTTTAGAACGATACTAAACTAACCAAATTTTCAGATATTTAAGATATAGTCTATATCAATCTTCAACGTGCTGGCTTTTGCCAGCAATTATGGAAGTTACCTGCCGACGACAACAAAACTCCCAAAGGTTTTGGTAATAATATATATATATATATATATATATATATATATATATATATATATATATATATATATATATATATATATATATATATATATATATATATATATATATATATATATATATATATATATATATATATATATATATATATATATATATATATATATATACATAATTACATTGAAGCAAGATCACGTCAAGTGGACCCCCCATTTACCACTTGATCATAATTTTTTTTTTATAAGTATTTATGATGGAAAATTGATCCCCCAAACGATTTTTTAAAATTTTGATATAAACATTTTTTTTTATAATGAAAATTTTCAGCACTTTTAATTAAAAATTGATTAAGAATCAACGGTAAGAGATAAAAACTTTTAAGTTAACAAATGACGAGTTAACTGATTTCTTGGTATTAAAAAATCATGTTTTTTTTATCGGTCACATGCTTTACACATTTAAGTTTAAGATTTCGGAAGAAAATTTCACTGCTCGTCATTAGTTTAAACAAAATGAATTTATTTGTGACAGCGCGCCGGGCGCCGAGCGTTGTGGAAGCGCCGCGCTGCCGAGTGTCTCGTACTGCATTGAAGGTTTTATCAGTGATATTTTAAAATAATAATACAAAATATTATTATAAAACCAATTTTATTATTATTTATGTTATTTTATTATAATTATTATTAATGAATTAATTCCCTTGTCACGCAAGTAAGAATAATTTTTTTGTTAATGGTTTTACCAATAAAAATACAATAAAATAACGTCGTTAAACTTTTTTTGGGGAAGGTCCGTCGTGGAGACAGACTACCATCAACCGTGAGACACCCTGTATATGTTTGACAAACCACCATCGAAATCCATATACAAAAATTCAGCATTAAAATTAACTTATCTCGCAAAAATAAGGAACCTTGGCCGTTACTATCAATAGTTGTTCCCTTTATATAATATGTATACGGAATAATCGACCTTCATGAACTTGCTTTGTCATTAATATCAAATTGACATTGACATTTTGTATTTTGGCGGCAAATATAAATTTGCATTCTAAGTTTACAGTTTATAGGCGGACCAAAATCTCACGTACTTCCTCAAGCAATTGTTGTAACTGGTCGACGCTTTGAAGCCCAGAATGGAAAATATGACCACGCTTGCGTAGATCGCGGTCATCGCGTTGCACACGGATACCAAGATGACGTCACGCACGCAATTGTTTTTCGGCGTGTTGTACGATCCGAAAGCGATGAGCGACCCGAACGCCAATCCGAACGAATAAAATACTTGCGTCGCTGCGTCCAGCCACACCTTGGGCTCTAGTAACATGTGAACCTGCGTGAAAACAAAAAGAGATGAAGTTAATAAATTAAATATGAAAAAAAAGGTATGGGTTTGATAATTCGCGATTAGTTAATTGGCGGTAAAGTGTTTAGCTTCATAAAAAACTACTACGACTGGCAAATCCCACTTTATATTTTGAGCAGTGTACACATCATTAGGCTGTCATATCGTGTTTTGACAAAGCAAAATTTGTTTTTGTTATGTCTGTATTTAAATATGGTTGGCTTTATATACAGTGAAAACTCCCTATAGCGAAACTCTGTATATAATTTGTTGTACTATTAGGTCTCCATACAAAGCTATGTATTAATCCACTCTGTATAACGAATTTCTCACTCTATACCGAAAGAAGAAAGGGCACATCAGGTAACAAAGTAAAAAATTCTTTACCCTAATAATCTAATTAGCGAGAAACTCGTCGTCCTAAGTGTTTTTCTCGTAATTACTTCCTGAACCTATCGTAAAACTAAAAGCGAAGAGTTTGCTGAACAGCTTGGCATTATCGATTTCAAGGCTTCGGAAGGATGATTGGGGAAGTTCAAACAAAGCCATGGTATAAATTATGGACAGATAAGTGGCGAAGCCCATGATGTCGACAAAAACGTCACTAACGATTGGCTGGAGGAGACGTGGCCAAAACTAGCAGAAAAGTACCATGCTGATGACATTTTTAATACTGACGAAACTGGTATTTTTTACAAAATCACGCCAGATAAAACTCTTAAATTTCGAAACGAAAAGTGTGAAAAAAAGTATAACATATAACAAAATATAACACTTACAAGGCAAACAAGTCTGCATGGATGACATCGCAAATTTTTGAAGAGGAGATACGGAAATGGGATGCAGAATTAAAGGGGAGGAAAATATTACTTCTTTTAGATAACTGCCCTGCATATCCCGATATTGCAAATCTACGGAATATTGAATTGGCATTTTTTCTAGCCAAAATAACAAGTGTATTGCATCGGATGGATCAGAGCACAATAAAAAGTCTTAAGAGTCGATACAGGAAAAACATTTTAATGGAAATAACCGAGTCCGAAGACAAATTTTTCATTAATATGCTAGATGCAGTCAACTTTATTAGTAAAGCTTTGAAAGAGGTGACAGTAGAAACAATTCAACACTCCTATCGTCATGCAGGACAGCCACTAAGCGAGTGGATAAAGTAATTTCAAACAACAATTACATTTACAAGTGAGGAGTTGCAAGATTTTATGGTGATAGATCAGGATTTGCCTACAACAGCAGACTTGATAGAGGAAGCCATATTACAACAAGTAAGAAAGGGTGAGGAAGAGCACCAAGAGGAAGAAGAAGATGAAGAAGTTGATCTGGGACCACCACCAACCATTCAACAAGCCCTATATTCAGTTAAGCTGCTAGAGAAATATTTTATGTATCATGGCTAAGATGCCCCTCTCAACCTAAGTACGAAATGCGTATTGGCATACTAAAAAAATTCGAAAGAAAACGACCGATTATTTGAAACATTAGATGTAGTTTTTAAATATTTATATAAAATGTTCCTCAGTAGATGTTAAAATATGTATATAAAATAATTAAATATTGCAGAACATATTTTCTCTAATAAAACACATTTTATCGTTTGTCAATTTACTTTTGCAAATTGTTGTATCTACACAAAGTTTACACGTGACATCTGAACATTTTCTGTTTTTTTGGAAGTAAAGATTTGAAAATCTCTATTTTCCTGGACAAAGCACAGCTTCTCTCATTATAGACACTTTGCTTTTCACAATCTGTATTGTAAGATAAGAAAATTACTGACTCAGACGATTTGAAGCTACAAGAACTAGAATTTGAGTTACTCAAATTTTTAAGGGTTGAATTTGTGACCTCAATGTCTTCAGACGGAAATTCTGACACTATAACAGATGACACTTTAAGCGTTCTTGCCACTTCTTCAATGTTCTTCTCTTCATCGTCAACATCGAAACCCAAATATACATCGTTTTCGCACAAAATATTGTCATTCTTTACAACCCTCTAACGAGGGTTTCATAGTTTTATTTATTTAACAAGGTTCTCTAAATAATTGAAGAATTCTTCTATTTCGAACTATTATCGAGCCATCGTCAGATTGAATCTTATAAGAACGAACTCCTTACTTAAAACTATACCCTTTTGCCTGTTATGGGTGCAGGTTATCAATAACAGCGCGGAATAGCAATTACATAGCAATATGACTGGCTTTATATATGAATAAATGGGGGGCTGAAATGATAATGCCAACAGTACAATACAAAATATCACTATTATGACAGTTTTGACGTCCAATATGGGATCTAAAGAAATTAATCAAATAGAAATTAATAGGCATATTTTTAAGAGTTTAGTGTTATTTCTGTCATTTTTGTTTATTTATTTGATAAATAAAAACTGCTCAAAATTAAGGAGTGCAGAATCCTACACTTTTCGACATTTTTCAATTTCCATAAAAAATCATTTTATATTTCGCAACACTATGCATAATATTAATTATGTCAAACTAGCTATGTCACGTCATAACGCCGTAAAGTATTTCAACATAATTCCCAACCAGTTTTTTAACATGCCATTACATAATTTCAATAAAAAATATCTTTTAAATCTCTATTAAAGGGCTTAAACTAAAATAGCTAAAATAGTACCTATATATCTGTTTCGTCAATCATTTTAGCCAAAAGCGCAACAGTTGTTCGGCTTACATTAAAATGTGCAGCTATCACTGATAAGGACCCACCATCTTGATCGCAATTCTTGCTTTAATCTCTCTGCTTCTTTGTGGAGCCATTTTGGGTTTTCTTTTATTTTGGACATTTTTTTTTATTTCACAGTGACATTATTAGAAATATGAAAACAAGGAAGTTTGTATGATGACATGGTGGCCTAAAATACACTGATCAAAACTTTGAGAAAAAGTGTTTTAAGAGTCGTATCAGTTTTCTACGAAACGAACCTTACCTAAAGGTTAAGTTTACTGAATATGTTTAACATAGAGTATTGATAATGAACTTTAGAAATACAATAATATATATTTTTTAATATACGAATATTAGTAAGTAGCTGTATCGTTAAAAATTTAAAATCTAGCTATAACAGTAATCAATAAGAAAATTGCATAATTAAAATAAAAAATCAATAATGCAAAAATAATATAAATCTACATGCATGCAAAAACCTTTAATAAAACAAAGGCGAGAAAGAAAGCAATTCTTTCAAATTCGACTTATTTTTCATTTCTTCCTCCTTTCTTAAAAATTGGTACAAGCATGTGAGGAAATGTTCCCTCAACTGACCTATTATTAATTACATTTGCGGGTATGACTGAAAATTAAAGAACAACAATGTCTATTATTTCAGATGGCTTGGTAGGTAAAAAAACCATAGTTTGCGTAATAAGAGCCTCATAAGTACACTTACTAGACAATTAATTATCAAAATGCTCATGTCATTTATTTTCTATAATGTTCAACAAGTACCTACCAAATTCATTAGCTACAACTTTCTGGTCAGTTATTAATTTATCAGATATTTTAGTCTATTAAATCCTTGTATAGTTTTAATTCGTTTTGGTTAGTTTTGGTGAGTTGATTTAAACCTCATTGGGACAATATGGTGACTACTAAAAAACAAATTATCCAAAAGAAAGTGAGAAAGAAAGTAACTATCAATAAAAATTATTAATTATTGATGTAGAAATGAGAAAAGAGCTGCACCATACCTTGGGCTTTAACATGTGCTTAAGTCCTTCACCGGATCCTTCCAAAAAGAATCCCTCCACTAAAAATATGGTTAATACTACGTACGGGAACAGCGAGGTAAAATACACAACCTAAAAAAAGAATACATCTGGTTAATATAAAAAAGAAATACCGGGTAAAGACAACGAGGTACGGTATTGGGGACCAGACTTATCTACACCGTGGCGTGCTAGATCTCCAGACCTTACAGTAGAATAACAGATGTTATTTATTAAGTTCGCCCTACTACTCCTGAAAATATGGTTGGTCTTATCCGAAATTCTGGAGACAACCTTTCAAAAGCTTATTATTGTATTTAATATACAACGCAGGACAAAAACCTGACAAAATGTCGGAAGGCACTTTCAACATTAATAAAGGCCTTTGATTTTCATTTCAATCAATTTTGTTGTGTTTTACAGTCATCAATGTTTAGCTTCTATAATGTTCGGTTAGAGTTATTAATTTTTAAGCGTTGCCTTAGGTCAGGATAAAGATATTGAGGTTCGGTTTTCCACTGAATTTTTGGGTTTTCATCTAATGACATTTATGTCAGAAAACGCCATCTGGTGGCAATCGTGTTACTCATAGCACATTTGAGAGTCTATTAAAAGCTCCGAGTTAATTAAAATCAATTAAATCTTTTTCGAGTTATCGACATCTAAAGCCATTTAGTGAGGATCAACTAAAACAGGCAAAGGTGTTACGAGAAACGGGGCTAGAGAAATAGGAAGAACTCTGGGCTATGATGAATCTCATGTTTGAAAAAGATTGAAATCCGAACAGGAATCAGAATCCCTGAGCTGTTTTCAAGACGTTTTTACTTCAGAGCAGAAAAAACAGTTGGTAGACGGACCATCGTAAAGCACCCGACTTACGTTTCTACGGACTCACGCTTGCAGGAAGAAATATCATCAACCATCCATGTTCCACGAAATTGAAGTTAGCAGGTGGGGACTGGACCAGAAAATTAATAAAAATAAATCACCTTTCACTGCGCATACCACGGAACATTAGAGTTTTTAGACCATCCCAGATAAATTACCTGACCATGTTGCTCCTACTGGTAGAAGAGGAGTAGGCAAGAATTATTGCAGCCGAACAAAGAAAAACTGTGACAGTTGCTTGTGCCACGGGTGCAACAGAGCACTAGATTCCACCATTCTTCAGTTTTGCACATAAAACAGTTAATCCTCTATTGATAAGGCAAGCTCCAACTGGATCTGCTTTTGCTGTAATGCACTCTGGATATACGCATTCATTGAATTTTGTTGAATATTCGGAGCATTTTGGGAAGTATACAAATCCCACCCCAGATAGCTCTATCTTGTTATTATTGGATAACCATACTTCTCACACCACTCTGCAAGCCATCGGTTACGCGAAAAATATTCACATCCGTTCGCTGAGCCTTCAACCATAGAGCAGCCATCGCACAGAACTGCTCTACAAAAACTTTTTCAGACCACCATATTATGATTTGTGTGATAACTGGACAACATCTAACCCTGGGCGGAATACCACGGCAAGCATATGAGAAAACTACTACTATTCAAAATGACAGAAATTTTTCCCTTGGATAAAAATAGGACTTTCCGTTGGCCTCAGTCGCAAAACAAAAGAAAGAGACTGAAGAGTTAGATGATACGGATACAAACGACAAGGACATGCATATACGGGTTGTATTTGGAAAAGACTTGACCAATAGTGATGAGAAAAGCAGCTCTCAGGGAAATAACGAGCAAAAAGCTGTAGATTCCGTTGGAAATGTTATGTGAGACAAGCCTCAGCAAAATAGCGAGATAGAAATTGAGGAGCTTGTTGGAAATATCGAAGAAAATGGGCCTGGGGAAAATATTATGATAAAAGAAGGCGGCAATGTCTCAGATACAACTGATGCTTTAAATAGTAGCAAAAAAAAAAAAGAAAATGAACAAGAAAATGATTAAAGCCGACGACACTTCTTAGCCCAACCCCCAATAAAAAACAATTAGAAATTTTAGAATGGGAGAAGAAAAATAAAGTTGAAGAAAAAAAAGGAAGGAAAGTATCAAGAGAAACGTGTTTGTTGAAAAAGAAAACAAGACAATAACAAAAAGAGTTTGGAGTTTATTATAATAGAACCCCCAACGCGAAGAAGGGTTTTATGTTGACAAATCCGATATTGTAACGAAACTTTCGAAGCTATTGCAAGGCACTGCTGCCATATTTAAAGATTTAATAAGTCTTTCTACCGAATTAAGTGATTTGACTTTACATTAAGTACCTAAGACATCAAAAAAGTTTGTTCTATATTATCTTTTTGATTTTTTATATTTTTGCGACTTTTTCTTAGTTTTTAGGACTTTCACTCCTTTGGATTAAGAGAAATTGTGTGTGCATTCTCGAAATTGTTTCTTAAGAAATATTTTTTATTTGAAAAGTGGAATAATCAGATATTTGCCACACTCCAGGTCCTATTGGTAGAGTTTTGAATTTTATTTCGTTTTTTTTCAAATAAATATTTTGTTCCCGTGGTATATTTAAAATTTCAAGTTTATACCTGCGGCCTAATCGGCATTAATAATTCTAATATCAATTTCTTTTGACCGATTTACTTTTTTTTTTAATTTTTTAGGAACATCCATTTCTTCAATACCGTACCTAGTTGCCCTTGCACTCGGTACATGTCGAGGTATTGATATTTTTTCGATTTTTTCATCGACACCTGACGCAGAACTAATCCAAAAGATTTGCAAATAGCTCTAGAGTAGCCTGTAGAAGTTGCGTAGAATACAGGGTGTTATTTATGTAAATATTGTCTTGTTATTAAATATGGAGGTTTTCACCAATAGTTTTTCAGTGGTTTCCTGTGTGTCCTTCAATACAATAATGTTATTGTATTTAAATTTTTCGACAAAATTCTGCCTTGACACCTAGTCATCTCAGTAGAAATCTACTACGAGGGCGGGGAGAAAAGTTTCCGTCGTGGCCAAGAAAAATGATGTTTAATTTTTTTTTTTGCTTTATTTTTCCACATAATCTCCATCAACACTAACACAGTTTTAAATGTAGTTTCGTCAAGCTACTTTTTCGTTGCTCTCCAATATTTCACAGTCGCTTGGGGCTAAGTCTAGCAACCAAGGAGGTTGCGGCATCAACTCAAACCTCAATTTGTGAATTTTGTACATGACAACAATCGATAAATGCGCTATTCTATTATCGTGAGCAAACAAAATTTGTTTTGGTTAGTTGACCAGTGACTTACCCTTCTCGAGGCAATCGATGTATATATATTCTCTAGCAGCCATAACCTTGTTTGCCTATAAAATTGTTTTAGCTTTCTTTGCAGTTGGTTCCTTTTTTGCAACCCACTGTTTTGACTGTTCCCTACTTTCAGGAGTGTAGTGATGGACCCAAGTCTCATCATCAGATATGAATAGACGCAAAAATTCTATAAAGCACCAAATTGTCGGTAGAAATGTTTTTTAGTATGATTTTTTGGTAGAGCTTTAGCAAATGCGGTACCCACCTTGAGTACAGCTTTTCCATGCTCAAATGGTTGTGAAAAATATTTCGCATACGTTCAGCTAACATGTCTGTCTCGTGCACTTTCAACCTACCGTCTACCAACACTATTTAATGGATTTTCTCAATCATTTTTGAAGTTGTGTCCTCAATGGGCGAGTCTCATCAGATGTGCTCACATGACCCATTTTAAATTCAGAAGTCCAATGCTTAATAGTTGAATAGAATATGATGGGCAGGTATAAAACCTTTCAAATACAAGTATTTAATGACAGCACGTTTTTCCATTTTCCAAAGACCTGGTGACACCACCTCTTGGTCAGGCCGGAAACTTTTCGCCCCACCTTCGTAATATTGCCTGCAGTGCAGCTGGTGAACAACGAAAGGATAGAGATTTTTTGGTACCGAATCAAATTTTCGATGTACGAGGGTCACTCGATAAGTTCCCGACCTCACCTTAACGATGGCCACTAGTTACTAACTTGTCAGTTACTTACAATAGTTTCAGCCAGTTGAGAGTCGTTGGAGTGAGTCTAAGTGAGTGTAAAAATGGAAAAACTTGAGTATAAAGCTATCGTAAAATAATAAAATAAAATAAATAATAATACACCTACGCATATTAAAGTTGAGTTGGATTCTGTATATGGAGACTCTGCGCCATCATTTACCACAAAATGCCAGTTTTGGCGCCGATTAATTACTGTATACATTATAATTAAATTATACGCCCGAATCAAAAATACAGTCAAAACAGTGAACTGCGGAAGGGGGAACCAACCCCAGAAACAGCAAAAACTGTTCTTTCGGCTTTGAAATTGATGGCGACTGTTTTTTGGAATAGCCATAGAGTCATCTTTATCGATTACTTTCAAATAGGAAAAACTATAACAGGATCATACTAAGCGTCATTGCTTCACAAACTGAGGCTTGTGAAAAAACGGCCACATTTGCAAAAAAACTTGTTTCACCAAGACAACGCGCCTCATACCTCAGCGGTTACCATGGAGAAAATCCACGAATTACGGTTTGAATTGCTCGACTGTCCGCCTTACACACCAGATCTAGCCCCAAGCAACTTCTTTTTGTGCGCTCATCTAAAAATTGCGCTTGGAGGACAAAGGCAAAGAAAAACGCTGGGTGCTGTTTAGACGAATTAGAGAGAAGTAAAAAAAGTTAAAAATAGGCTATGTTTCATTGTTATGTCTGAAACTTTTTAGGCGACCCTCGTAGTTCCATTTAAAGTACTTATTTCATGTTTCCAAATCAAGCGCTTGTTTGTATTATGTTCAGTATGTCCGAAATTCGTTGTCATTGCGGGATATCTCAAGATGCCGTCAACAGAATTTTCATATCTCATTGCGTTTCTTACCTGCAGGGTGATTTTAAAAAACTGGCGATTTGCTCCACTTCTTATATCAATATTTAAGCTGTCGAAGAAAAAAAAACGTCTATTGAGATTTTTTTTTTATAGAAGTCAATGGAGTAGTTCTTTTAATTTTAGTTTTGTTTTTTAAATTATGAGGTAAACTTGTGTATTTTTAAATGGGACACCCTGTAAACTTTTAAGTCATTGTGATGCATCCGTTAAGGGCTAATATTTTAATATGACTTCTTATAGTAGGTTATTTAAATAAATTATATTAAATATTTTATTTAATAACAACATTACACTATAATTTTATATATTTCAAAATTATTCAGTTTAAGTTCAGTGTTAGTTAATTAAAAATTAACTTGATATTATCATTTAAAAAGTATATTTTAGGAGTATTATTATCGATGTTTTCCTCTCGCAAAATTAGTTTAAAATTGTATTAGTTTAAAAATTGTATTTTTTTGAAAAAAGTTAGTCTAAACGTAAATCTAAATTTACAGCTAAGAAAACTGTTTAAATTGACCTTGCATTAAGTAAGCAATATAATGGGGAGGACTTGCACATTTTTTAATTTCCCTTCAGTGGCATTTCGCAGATCTTCCATTGTATTGTATGTCGCCAAAATATTATTTTCACTAATTTCGCGATGCGGTTTATTATAAGTTTTTGGCCGACCTTTGCGAAAAGCTGCAAAATTAATTACGTTGGTTTTAAGCCCACCAAATATTCTTTTATTGTCTTCGCTCAATAATATATTTATAAAAGTTATATAAAATTAAAACATAAATATATCAGAAAAAATGTTTGAGTTGAAATGACTCAAGACTAAATACCTGTTTCAATAATAATAAAATAAAAATGAAGTCTTCTTCAATTTAGTCGACATATGGGTACCACGTGATCTAATAAAATATCCTCGATGTACCTAGCACCTTCGTAAGGGTTCCGCTCCTCATTGCAGCATTCTGCAGATCACTCTCCTGGATTTCCGTTCACCTTTTTTCGTAGGTCAATACCAAAAAGGCAAATTCTGGTCTCATCTGAGAACATCTGGTCTAAGCGTAGGAGTGCTTGACGATGAGTTGGAGTAAGTTTTGGACTAATTGCAGTTGTTTTTGGGGTCAGGTTCTTTTCCTTCAGTCTTCTTCAAACTATCCACTCACTAATAGCCACTCTTCGAACTTCATGGATCTGTTGTTGCACTTGAACCGCATACGAATGACGATTTCTTATTATTATTGACACAATAAAGCGGTCATCATGAGCCGTTGTAATTTATTTTTATATTTTATTTATTTTCTGGATCAGATGAACAGTTTCTAGAAAAAAAATAGTAAAGTCAAAAATTTTCAACCTGCCAATTTCTATGCACGCAAGCTGATATTAGTTTGTATTAAGTAATTTTATCTTAACCTGGTGCAATTATTTAAAATATCTCAATTTCTTTTATTTGTGTTTCACAGGTTTTCTGGCAATAGAAGCAAACATGGGACCGCGTCCAAGAAATCTCCTCCGTAGATACTACAGGGGCAATATTTTTCGGACAATTCGACAGGTTTCGATCAGGTAACTTCAAGGGTTTGAGATGTTCTCTCAGCTTTTGCTCCTCAGCGACGGTCATGCTTTCTAAATCCAGAAGACCCCTTCCTGCAAATTTTCGGAGTAAGTAGAGCCTTGCAACGGACGATCGCGGGTGATGAATCCTGAATCTGGTAAGTATTGTTCTTATTTCTTGGTCCAAGTGTTGTATTGAAGTTGCCGGCCACTTTATGACTCCGAAAGTGTACGTAATATCTGGGAAAGTCCAGGAGTTAAGAGATTGAATTTTGTGTTCATTACTTTTCTTATCCGAGTCTTTAATTTACGGGTATGGTCTGTTCATACATATAAGAAAGTGACCAATTGCTTTTGAATGGCATTATACAAGAGTGGTCATTAACATACAATGCAACAAGATTATTACTAAAGTCTCGTAATTCAAATTCAGGTAAAAATTGTGAATAATCCCATTTCAGCGAGGAAAAAAAAAGCGATTCTGACATTTTCTTGAGTGTGATCAAGATATAATACGGCGTAAAATTTACCAGTTATACGAGGAACAAAGCGTGCCTACATTAGATATCTTAATTAGGAGAATTGAAAAAGATGAAAGCGATGTTAAATGTGGCAGAACCTTATGGAAGTCTATTCAACACATGGGTTTTAGATTTTAAAAAAATCGACAAAAGGCAAGTTTTAATGGAATCTTTTAGAATTCGGAAATGGCGACTGGAATATCTAGAAAAAATTACGAATTACAAAGAACAACAAATGCCAATTATTTACTTGGATGAAACCTGGTTCGACACTTATGATACCCCGGAAAAGGGTAGGGTTGACTCAACTGGTAAGTGTAAAACAAAGGCGCCATCAAAAAGAGTTAAAAGAATAACTATTTTGCATGCTGGCTCTAAACATGGTTGGATTCCAAATGGACTTTCTCTGTCTGCGAAAAATATTAAAGATTCTTCTCTGGATTACCATGAAGACACCACCGCTGGTTTATTTGAAAATTGGTTTAAAAACAAACTGGTTCCAAACATTCCTCCTAATAGCGTCATTGTAATGGACCCCTTCCTCATGTAACACAAAAGCAACAATCCAAAACTACATGCATAATAACGGAATTTATTTTCACGAAGATTATACCAAAAACCAATTAATTGAGATTCTACAAAGCTTGAACCTACAAAAGGAATACGTCTGTGATAATTATGCAAAAAATCTAGGGCATACAGTTTTAACCCACTGTATATTTAATCCACATTAAACATGTTTGGCACCATCTGAAATCTGCCATTCGTCGTAACAATGTTTTCCCCGTGTTAACTCCAATGTCCTCAAACTTATAGAAACCGAAGTTTTTAACATCCCTCCAAATATGGGCAAATTCCATTAAACATATAGAAAAAGCAGAACAATCGTTTATCCATATTGCAAATAATATAGAACAAATAATAATTACAACAGGCGATGATAGCGATAATGGTACTGATTATTATGTGAATAATTTTAAGTAATTTAAGCAGGTAATAAAAATAATTTGTAATTTTATTTTAGATTTAATCATAAATACTAAATCCTAAAAAAAACCCAAATAATTAAATTCTAAGCAAAGTACGGACCTGTTCGGCTATATTTCATTCTTACAGGTTGCCCTGGTCTTTCCTTAATTCGTATCAGTTAGTCACTTTCTCATATCTATCAACAGACTTTAACTACTTCGCGAGTCCTGATCATTTCGATGTCATAATGTTGGTATCGTTGATTAACCAATATCCTGGAATTACTGCGAGACCACATCAACTTGGTAGGTAAGCTGCCTCTCGTCACATGCATATAGCTTTAAATCATCTACGTAGAACCGGTGGGTTATTGACATAGGTGGATTTCGCTAACCATTGCCCCCTGAATTGAGCATCTTACTCAGTGGGTTCAGTGGCAAACAGAACCACAGCGGAGAAAGGCTGTCGCCCTGAAAGTTGCGTCGTTTTATATACAGGGTGTTAAAAAAGTGCGCTACCAAACTTTGGGAAACAATTCCTTCCGTGATTTTAAGAAAAATATGTCATATAAACATAGGTCTAAAAATGAATATTTTTCAAGATACAGGGTGTTACAATTTTCAAAAAAAAATTGTTTTTCCTTTTATAACTTTTATATCAATTTCGATATTTTTATGAAATTTGGTGTGCATCTTTTCCTTATCGAGAGGCGGTTTTTGACATAAAAGCTCGATTTCTATTTTTACCAGTGGCGTCCGTACGGGGTTTGGACTCAATTTTTTTAAAGGAAAAAATGGCACCCCACTGCTTTTTCTGAAAACAAAAATGATTTTTAAAATCCCCATTCAATTTGGAGTAAATCTGGAACTTGCTTTAGTACGACGCACGATTTTCGATTAAAAAAATAAAAACCATTTAAATGCATCTAATATAACCCAAATGCAATTTTGCAATGTTAATTTGTTATGTTATTTGAAATTTGGCACGTGTAATGCTATGACTAGTGCCCATAAAAAGAAATAAATATAATAATTTGTAATAATCTAGTACTTGTTTTGCGACGACACTTATGATTTCCAATTAGCATTCACACGGTCCTTTTTCGCTTTTCTGTTTAACAGTTTGACAGCATACTTTTTTAACACCCTGTATATCTGCTTGGTGGTGTATCTTTGTTGACCTCGCACGTTGATCGTTGTCCTCCAATTTAACATTAGACAGGTCAGCAGTTTGGTTATTATTATTATTATTATTATTATTATTATTATTATTATAACTTTTTCATCCTGTGCATATACAATTCAGATGCTTCATCTGTATTTTCACGAGACAGCACAAAAGATTACAGCATGTCATATTTTTCAACATTTCCAAATCTTCGTTGACAGCCACAATATTTATAAATATTTAATTAACAAATTGAAATATAAAATTTCGAAGCAGTAATCAGTACTTCGACATATAAAGCGTTTTTTAAAATAATAAATAAAAATAAATGTGCAGTTTAACAACTAGAACGTGCCATTTAAAAATACAGAACTTAATATCATAATGCTCCGTTGGATTCTACGTAAAAAAATCTCTATAGACGCAATGGGATAAGAAAATTCTGTTGACGGCATTTTTCGTTTCACAAAATGGTATCACCAAGCAAGCCGCAAGTCTCTAGATTTACGTATAACGGAAGTATCCCGCAACTTGGAGTCACTATAGAGGGGATGAGATATTTTGTATATAACACTCTGTATTACCACTAGCGATTTACTTTGGTGATATTTACTGACCAACTTTTTCGCGTTTAGTTTTGGTGATACCTTGGACATTTTGACTATTATTTTTTTAGACTTTTTTTAGATACTTTAGGCGCTAATAAAACTCACCTTTCCTGAGCTTTGAATACCCTTCATCACGATAAAGAAAACAACCACCCATGACAGCAGCAAGCACAAAGTGATCCACCATTTGGGCTCTCCTGGTTGGTCGATGGCTGGACTGGCGTCCAGCGTGACTCGATACCAAAAGTAAGCGGTTGCTGACGATTTGGCACACTCCGGAACGGTAACGTTGTTAACAATTGGACATTTTTCCCATGGAAGTGGCGGCTAGAAACGGAACGGAAATATAGGCACTTCGACAGTTCGAATGATAAAGTTGTGAGAATACAATTTTTGAATACAGATGGGGTTCCCCACGTTGTCCATCCATTACAGGTTTTAGGAGGAACAAAATATATATTGCTATGAAACTTGTTACACCATGACCAAAAATATTGTGAAATAGTGTGATTCACTTGTCCTACTGTTTATTACTACAATATCGCAGCCCCTTATAGAACCAACTGCCGAGCAGTAACCTTTCCAGGACCGTGCTAGGAATTTATCTACCTACAGTAACAAGCGGGATCTAAGTATGTTCCAACCTTTTTCGCCGAGCAATTCTTGAAAGATGTACATAAAAAGATTAGTACATTACATTTCTATATAGGACCATTATTAATAGATAAAATATTAAATATAATAATAATAATAATAATAATAATAATAATAATAATAATAATGTATCAGTCACTTAAAAAATCGCCACTCAAAATAGCACGACGAATAATACATACATTTTAAATGGAACATAATATTTTTAAATGTTGTCTTGATTTTCTATTAAAATTCTTTTACGTTGGCCATGACAAAATGACACAGTCAAATTTTTACCTGACAACTGAGCAAACAAATGTATTTATTTAAGTCCGGAGGCTTGAGATCCGGCTACTTCGGGGACCAATCCCATGGCCCTAGACGCCTGATCCACCGATCCTCGAACGTTTCATAAAATTGTTAATCAATTAGGATTAAAAATATCTCTCAAAACTATGTACTCCGAGGAAAATCTTCTTGATGGAGAGCGAACATGGTATTAAATTTATAGGGGTACATTCCATGCTGTTTCAAAATTTCTTGAAATACGTTCAGGATACGCATGAACACATTGATGATATTTCCCTCACTTGAAGTAACCGACTTAAATCTTCTGGATTTAGTACGGTTCATAGCTGGCAGGATACCTTTCATTGAACAACATACAAGTTCTGCTAACAACTCTGCTGCACTTCCCATGTATTACGAATCAATTTACAAGTTCAGCAGTAGAATATGGATTACACGGGTCTACACAAAATTTGACTTTGACTTTAAAGCATAAAATTGCGCTATTTTAGATCGTAATTAGATGAAAGAAGAAATGACTTAAAAAATTTGGTTTTGTATTTAGGAGACAGACTGAAGAATTTTTTAAAGAAACTTAAACAGGTTACTGCAATACTATTTACAAAACTTCTGACTTCCTTGTTCGTTGTTGTTGTTGTCGGCTTCTTCAGAGCTTGACTGAAATTATTTTAGTTTTCAGAAACTGTTTTATTCAGTTAAGCACTGAAGAAGCCAACAGGATGTATGGCGAAACGTTAGCAGGTTCGACTCAAGAAAAACCGACGCAGGAGGAATCCAAAAGTTTTATAAATAGTACCTGTAAAAATTTCAGTTTTAGCTACGCTCTGAAGAAGCCAACAGGATGATTGGCGAAACGTTATCAAGATATTTTTTAAAATCTGTGGTTCTAATTTTTAATTAAAAATAAAACCATCCCAATAAATATGTTCATAAGTTTTATTACCAATATAACTCACAAAAAAAGTGTAAAATAATACAAAAGCGTACGCTTTTACTTTTTTCTTTTATGTTCATAAAAAAAATAAAACCCAAATATAATTTTGAAAACGTTCTCCTTGCTGTTTTGAATACACCCCCATGTTGTTTTCAAATTTATCTACATATGTTACGTTTATCCTGCAGAGCATAACCTCAAATTTGTTTAGCATATTCTCATCCAACTTTTCGCAGATTTTTATTGCTTTAAAACTGTTCCGACATGCTATTCGAATATGATTTAGCAGCGGCGAAAATCTTTCTAATTTGCAGACCAACAAGAACTCCAGCTTTTACCCTTGCTTCTGATAATTTTCTTAACAAACTGTTTCACCAACTCTAGCTTAATGTGCATGATACTTAGCATCCGGTCTGCTATCCCATAAAGATAGATAATACGGATACTTTCTATATCCGGTCTGTAGTGCCATTAAAAATCTCACCATCTTTAATTTACACTTTTATAATTTTCTTTTAGGTGTACTGAGTGTAATAAAACATCTCTTAAGCTCTTTGTAGATCTGTCAGTAAATAAATCCCAATTTCTTCGTTTTGCTTCTTCTGTTATTGCAAACACAAAGTCCATCTTCGCTAGTGCGCTAAGTGTTTTGGTTGTTCTGGTATAGGTAAAAGCCCTAATCAGAATTACTTTTATTAGAACTAAGAGATGAGCTTTTTTTTCGTTGACTCAGGTACTAGTTGGTACGCAATTGGAGCAGAAGATTATCGATAGGTTTTGCATTCTTATGACTACGTCTTTAACTTGGATCCACAATGCAATAGTAGTAGTCATTGTAGTTGTCTTTTGTTGTAGTTGTAGATGTCATAAGCCTTTTCTCACCTCGATACCAACTTAAAATATAAAAATACAAATTAATATATTGACTATATTTGATTCGCCGCTTAATCAAAAACTGCTGGCCTTCTAAACAACTTTTATAAAAACTACAAGCCCGTGGCTTGTCTTCATTCCGAACAGAAGAATCGAAATATGCTTCATAGGCTTCAGAGAGAATGTGAGATGTCCTTATTTGGAATTTTATGTCTCGCACTTTAATAAATAGTCCACGTATATAGCCAAAAGCGTCGGGATCCACGACGATATTTTCAGTTTTTCTAGACTTTTACAAAACACATGATCATTATTTATCATTCAAGTGCCATCTAGCGGCATTATATGAATGTGAAAACCCTACTTTGTTGGTGGAGTTTTTTTGAATGTATTAAAATTACTTAAATTCATAAACAAATTCAAAAATGGGTATTATTATTATTATAACCATCACAAAGGCAAATTTTATATCAAAAAAAGGTATTTGCTCTTCTTTTTTGTGCCCAATTAACCTCAAAATAATAAAATAAACTTTTGGACAAAGAACGAAAATTATTTCGTAGCCTTATTATGTATAATTTCAACACTGCAAACTTTTTCGCTGTCATCTGCGAAAGTTCACTTTTACGCCAGGCTTTAATTTGTTTTTTTCAACCAAGATGGCAGGTAAGTGTGGGAACAATTAGTGGAAGCTGTTTAAATTTTTATGTCGAATTCAACAGTGCAATAAAAAACTATATTCTCCGTTTGAAACTGACAATGTCGCAAAAGCGAAAATATTCGTCAGGGCCAACTATGACCATTTATTACGTTTCATGACAATATCTATTTTGTTTCTCATAAAACTTCTAATGGACTTATTGGCTGATTGGAAAGAAATTTTCTACAAAATTCAAAAGCACGTGAACTTTGTTTGGCAAGGGAAAAATTTTTAAAACAAAAAGCAAAATATTTAAGCAACATCTTCAATGTCCCACTTTATTTAAAAGTGAATTGGGGTTAAGTGATGTCTGCTCATTGCTGCACAGGTTTTGAAAGTAGTTTAGGAATTTTTGAATAATCTCGAGAAAAAAAAAATAAAAATCTACTAATTCTTATTAAAATTTCTACTGTTTGTCTCTTCTTTATGAGTAGAATTTTTTTTCAAAGATTTGAGCCTTCAAAAGCTATAAATGTGAAAATATGATTTCGCGGTTATTTAATCAATAGCTTTAAGGCAACTACACCAATTACAAAAAAAAAAACAATATACACAAAGATATATTCTTAATTTTCTTTTCGCTGTATTTTTGTATTTGTATTTACAAAACGGTTGACCTTTTCAAAAAGTAGCGAGCAAATTTTAGTGCCACACAAACTATTCAATGGGCATTAACAACGCACTGCACTTTGAATTATTATAGTAGTAAATCATTATAACATGAACTGTCTATCGGTGAGAACCCACAATTAGCTTTTAATTACGTACTTATAGTTCTTACCCAAAAGCTATTAAACAGATAATAGAAGCACCAAGTGATGATCACATTGTAGTAAAGAGCTACAAAAAATGTAACTATGCAGGACGATATTCCGATTCCACCCAACCATGGGTGGATCGTGTTCCATACGCCGAGGGATCCTTGGCGCATCTTTTGTCCGATGCCCAGCTCGATCAGGAACAAGGGTATCCCTTCCAATATGAGCATTACCGCGAATGGGATGAGAAAAGCACCTGAAACAAAAAAAAAAGAAAAAAAAATGACATCGATATGTCAATAGAAGCCGATGAAAGATTTGATGTTCCTGAATTATATTGAAACTAACTAAGCAAAACATAGTGTTCGAGACTGAGGAACTCTCAAATAAAAATCTGGTTTTCCTAAACATCTATTAATAAACTAGCAGTTAACCTATATTCTTGAAACTAAAAGTGCTCTGCATTACTAACAAACAGGTGTCAAATAAGTTAAAGCAAATATTTGAAATGAAAGTTAACCTTTCAATGGGTATTCCGTAATAATAATAATATTAATAATATTAATTATGACAATAATAATAATAATACTAATACTAATAATAATAATAATAATAATAATAATAATTGAATATATACGAGGTGTGTTCAAAAAGTAAAGTGACTTTTAAGTTGTATCAAAAAATATATATTGATTCATCAAAATTGGGCAATCCTCGAAGCACTTCGTACTTTCTCTTTCTCTTTTCTTTCCTTTAATGGCTTCTTGAGTTGGGAACAGGAAAAAATCGGAGGAGGCCATAGCCGGTGAATATAATGGCTGAGGCATAATTGCGTTTTTTTTTGGCAAAAAGTTAGAAACAAGCAACGATGAGTGAGCAGGCGCATTATCGTGATGCAAAATCCATGATCCACAATTCTGGACATTTTCATTGCATTGCACCTGCTCACAATTTCAAGGTAATACTGTTTATTGACCATACGATCTTGGGGTAAGAACTCTTGATGTCTACGTCACGATAATCAAAGAAAACACTAAGCAAAACCTTTATATTTAGGACGACATTAGGACGACTGAGCTTTGGCTTCGATGTCATCACCATATGTCCATGATATGTCACCAGCTATGATCTTGCAAACTATGAACGTGCAAACTGGCTGAAACTGTGAACATATATTAGGGACACGTGTACCAGTATAACAAAAAAAAATCGAATATAGTACGTACGCAGCCCGAATAAATACAAAAGTCGCCTTAGTTTTTGAACACACCTCGTATGCTTTTTTCCAGTGTCCCTTCTTTTTTTATTTTTATATTCATTTCCCTTAAGGTTTTTTTTAAATTGTTCTGCATTGATTTGTGAATTTAGGTGGATTTGAGGGTTTAAGATTTAATTCATATTTGTTAGTTTTTTTTTGTTAATTTCTGAACATTCTGGGATATAATACATTGTAGCGGTGGTTAGGTGGAGTAGCACGGCTAAGACCTCATCAGCCTGTGTTAGTTCTATGTATTTTTTTGTATGTTCATAGGGGTTATTTAATATTGTTATTATACGAGGGTAGGGTGAAAAGTTTCCGTCCTGACCAAGAAAAACGATGTTTTAAAAAAATGCTTTATTTTTCAACATAATCTCCATCAACACTAATACATTTCTCATAACGGTGTTCCAATTTGATTATACCAGTTTTCAACATAGATTCGTCAAGCTCCTCAAAATACTAATTTACAGCTTCAAGAACTTCTTCGTTGCACTTAAACCTTTTACCGCCAAGCCATTTAAGACATTTTTGAGGTTAGGAAACGGGTGCTAGTCGCTGGGAGCTAAATCTGGAAAGTAGAGAGGTTGCGGCATCAATTCAATTTAATTCGTGGATTTTGGACATGGTAAAAAATTTTTTCTTCGCCAAATGAGGTCGTTTAAACGTTGCAATAACTCTGCGTAGTATTGACCTAGTGTTACCCTTCTCAAGGTAATCACTGTATATAATTCCTCTCGCATCTCAAAAAACAGTAGCCATAACCTTGTTTGCCTATAAAATTGTTTTAGCCTTCTTTGGAGTTGGTTCCCCTTTTGGAATCCATTGTTTTGACTGTTCCTTAGTTTCAGGAGTGTAGTGATGAACCCAGCTGTTATGAATATTTCGCGCACTTTCAGCTACAGGTCTCAGATATTTCATGCACTTTCAACCTGCGGTCTTCCAACACTATTTGATGGATTTTCTCAATCATTTTCGAAGTTGTGACGTCAACGGGCCGTCCTCAGCGAGGCTCATCAGATGTGCTCACATAACCCATTTCAAATTGAAAAACCCACTGCTTAATAGTTGAATATCATGGGGAGGAGTCTCCTAGTTCTTCAATTTTTTTTGGTGCGAAACCTTTCAAATATTTTTTCAATTTTTCCATTTTCATGAAAACAACGGAGGTGTTTTCAGCAATTTGGACTCTAACGCTCTAACTGTACGTACGAGCATGGTTGCAATGCTTAGTAGGGCCACCTCTTGGCCTGGTCAGAAACTTTTCACCCCACCCTCGTATATCATAACACTGAAATAAAGTTATATTATTTTATAATTTATTTAATGCACTCCCAAGAGTGATTTCACTAAAGAAATATTTGGAACAATTTGTCTCAATTATAACATCCTAAACCGCAAGTGGATAAATCGATGCCATTTTCTGGGTTATTGGGCTATCGATTTTTCTATCAAAGCTTCCAGTTGCAACTTAGGCAGCCATAGTCAGTGGCGTTACAATTTACGCCATGCCGATAACGGCTGCCAGAGTCGCAACTGAAAGTTTTGGTAGAAAAATCAACCGCCTAACAGCCCGGAAAACCGCAATGAGCATAGCTTACGAAATTATTCCAAATTAAAGAGTTTCTTCCATTAAAATATTAGTCGTGAGCTGTTGAATGAATGACGGCTGCCTAAGTTGCACCTGGAAGCTAACTTAATTATTATAACATCTGCAGGGTGTTTCACGGCTAATAAAAATTGATTTTTTTAGGCTGCTACGTTGCCGCTTCTTCGAAAAAGTAGCATCAACATTGAAATTTTAAATGGGATACCATTTTCCGATCCGCTAGTACTTGTTTGTGAAAATATTCTATTTTCAATAGTTAGTTATCAGTTAAGATTTTGAACATAGCTTAGGGTGATATCGCACAAAATTTCTTACTATCGAAATTCTTTCTATATTATACAAAACAGATTTTTATATTGGAAAAAGGATCTTGTTTGCTAGCGTGCTGTATAATTATTTGTCAATATTTTCGAAAAAAAATTAAAGTACAAATTTTGTTAACTTGATTCTTATATTTATTTTACTCTCTTAATAAATAATGTTTATAACATAGTTTTTAATTTTGCCTTCCAAATACAAAAATGGCAAAAACTGCATTTCGTTTTAATGTAACAGCCTACGTTATCACATATTCTAAGAGCTAATTAAATTCAGCATCGAAAGATTACTCTATACCTAAATCGTGTGGTTTCTGAAATAAATGCAAATATCTCTTTAACTGGATTAGTTTGGCGCAATTCATCTGTTAGGTGGCCATTAGGTATCCGTCTTATGTTAAATAAAATACTTACTCCTTATTAACTCTCGTGCAAATTTTGTCGATAAAATCGGTCCAAAATCCAACACTTTTGGCATATCGAAAAAGATTAACTTTCTTAGGGAATCCTAGTCTTCAGGAACTTCGAACCTCTTGGTACCAACTAGCACCGGCTCACTGTACCGAATAGGTGTCGCAGGAAGTCGCAGGAATTATAAGAATCATCCAATGAACATTGGTTTCGACGTTAGGGGCCGTAAGATTGGCCAGCAGGACCGCCCGATCTCACGTCATTAGATTTTTACCAGTGGGGTGCTTTAAAGGTGCAGAAGAAAGAAGAGTTACGTCATCGGATTGTAAGATTGTCACACACAAAGAATTTTATAGTGTTGAGAATGCAATGGTGAACACTTTGAACGACTAGTGTAAAAATTGGATTCATATGAATTATATCAAAGTAATCCAGTTTTCAGAGAAACTTGCTTTTATTTCAGAAGCCAAAAGGTATGCATGATACATCGTTCGAAAGGGAATTTAATTTTCTCTTAGAATATGTGTTAATATATGGGGGTGTTACATTTACAAAAATGCACTTTTCACCAATTTTGTATCTCGTAGGCAAATCATTAGTTTTGACCAATCCTCTATGATATAAAACTAATTTTGATATTAAGAAATACCTCACTAAGCCATTTCCAAAATTTTAACTTCCTGCGGGCTCCAGTGTCATTTAAATTAAATTAAATTAATTAATATAATTAATTATAATAATTAATTAATATAATTAATTAAAATTTAATTTAAATGTATGTTGTGGTAGAAAAATAAATTAAATTAAATAATATTATCAAAAAATAAGCAATATATTTTTACAATATAAAGTTCCTAAATTTTGATATTCAGGTTTAAGAAATAACGCAAACGCTATTTTCTTTTACTAACTAGGTGGGTTTATACAGTAAAATCAGGGTTTTTTAATATTTACTTTATTTGAAATCTATTATGTTATTGCTATTAAATGTTAAGTTAAATTTGCTAAAATTTCTGCTTCCAATATACGTTTCATTAAACATTAACAAGTTATCACTCACATTCTATAGAAATTTTATGTCACTTAAATTTGACATATTTTTTCAAATCTTCAATTGTTTTTTTAGAGATAATTTAAAATTAAAAATTCTTTATCTAAATTTATGTGGAGTTGAGTTTAATATACATTATTATCAACTCCCGAAATTAGAGAACACCTAACTTAGCTTTATATGACATTGCCACTTCAAAATTTTTCCAAAAAATTATGGTTACATATTCACACCAGAGCATTTGGTAAAATGCATACATAGTAATATTATGTAATTAATTATTTAACGAATTATGGTTTAACAAAGTTGCTTTCAATGATATGGGAAGGGTCAAATATGGGTCTAGAAAAAGTTTTTTTTTCTAATAGTTTAGTTTTAAAGAGTATTTATTGGAACTTCGACTACCATGTCAATTCTTAATTCTTTTACGAGTCGGTAGGACGCGCTTTATATCAAAAACTGTTATTTTTATGATGTTCTCGAAAATTTAAAATGTAATGCTATAAATATTTTTAGCTATGATGAAAGAGCGTAAAAAACACAGCAAGTAGTGAAAACACCATGGCAGTATCGTTTTTCCCCTCTGAGATATAATTAGAAATTAGCCGTA